GGCTCCCTCGCCCGGATCCTCCCCGGCTCGCCGGGATTGGTGGAATCGCGAGGATCGTGCCATCTTGCGCTCTGAATTTGTGCGCATCGCTCAGCGGGTGGGCCGGGCCTTTACTCTTGATGCCTGTGCCGATCCCCTTGGCCATAATGCCATGGTCCCGAACTTCTGCTCCCCCACCCGGGATTTCCTTCGGGAGTCTCTGGCGGGCCACCATGTTTGGCTCAATCCCCCGTTCAGCCGCATGGATGAGTTCATTGACCACTACCTTGCCGAGAAGGCGCGCTCCCCACAGGACACCAGTGCCTGTATCCTAGTGCCGGCTTGGCGCAAGGCCGCGCACCCTAGGTTGCGTGGTATGCAGTTGGTGGCTCAATACGAACAGGGGACGCCCCTGTTTACAGCCCCTTGTACGGATGGTTCACGCACCCCTCTTCCGGGCATCCCGTGGGGGGTGAATATCTTTTATGATCCTCCTCGCCCCGCCATCTGTTCTGCTCGCCAGACTGATGAGGGCCGCTTAGCCCTTTGCCTTCCGGGTCGCATTGCCGGCGCCCCTGCTCAGTGCCTCCTTGACACAGGCGCCCAGGGTACCCATTACCTCTCGCAACAATTTTGCGAGCAAAATGGGATTTCTTACACCCCTCTCACTAGCATCGAGGTGCAGGTGGCTTCTGGCCACACGGCTCCCCTCGTGGGGGAGACGGTGCTCTCCGTTGAGATCAAAACCTATCGGGAACGATTGCGTTGTGTCGTCCTCCCAATGACCCCCGGCATTGATCTGATTCTTGGCGATGGTTGGCTCCTTCGCTGCCACGCGACGATCGACTATGGCGCTCGGTCCATAATCTTGCGTGATGACCTTCATGACCATTTCATCACCCTTCAGATGGCCCCGACTTTGGCGCCCCCTCTCGTTCCTCCCCCTACTTCTATCCCCTAGGACGCTGCCGCCGCTCCGGCCGCTTCGGCCCCCCCGCCCCCCTTGCTGAACTACCTTCAGACCAAGCGGGCTTTGCGGAAATATTGCGCGGCTTTTCTGGCGGTCCTGCGCCCTACCGATCCACTGGATCTGGAGCCCGACACTCCCGACGCGGCGACGGAGGATCCGATCATTGCCCCTCCTGCCTCCTCTGACCAGGCTGATCCAGTGCGCATTCAGCGCATTTTGGATCGCTTTCCTGAGGTCTTTAAGGATGCCCTGCCTGGCCTCCCTCCTCGTCGTCCGGAGGACGTCACTATTCCCTTGGTTGAGGATGCCGCCCCCGTCAACCGGGCGATGTTTCGCTATTCGCGCCCTGAGCTTGAGGAGATGAAAACCCAGCTTCAATACCTGGTCGAGCGCCAACTCATTCGCCCCAGCACCAGCCCCTGGGGCTTCCCCGTCCTTTTTGTTCGCAAGGCGAACGGGACACTTCGCATGTGTGTCGATTACCGGGCCCTGAACAAGTTGACGGTCCATAACCGTTACCCGATCCCTCGGATCGACGACATGTTGAACATGCTTGCTGGGGCCCGGGTCTTTGTTGCGCGCTGTCGCACAACACTCAAGGGTCGCTGGGCCCAGTACCGCATGGCACTGTGCTTCCTGGGCGCGTGAATAAACTGCTCACAGGGCAATGGCAGTGTTGCCTATATGTAAGGAATCGGGCATTGTGATGGCTGACGTAGTTGAATGATGGTTTTGTGACGGTCAGTGTGGTGATTCTACTTAGGGTTAGGCTAAAATTGGCATTTCTGAAGCGATGGTTAGTGGAAAAAGTGCAAATACGTTAAAATCAGCTTATTCAGGAGCTCCTGATGCCGATAGCACCTTGAAACGTCTAATTCCGAGAAGAAACGGCCAAGTTATGGCCAATTGAAGTTGCAATACTTAGCATGGGATTCGGACCGGTAGATAGAAGCATCGGGGATTATGCGGAGCTGATTTAGGTGAATGGTGGACGGGGACACGTGCGCACAACAACTTACAATACATTATATACTGTTGTATGTTGTCTTGTGACCGCGAGGGACCCGCGATCGGGCCTCGCGCGCATGCGGGTCCTGAAACAGGCGCATGCAAGTCACGAGTGTAATTCGATCTTTGGCCCACTGCCTGGTCTCTCCGTGACCAGCGAGCCACCGTCTGGCTGCGCCACCACCCAAGCCACACTCCACAGCCTCGAGGCAGTTCAAGAACCTATAAGCTTCTCACAAAGCCTACTATCATGTGAGATTATTCTATCATATTGTGCATTGAACTTTAACCTCTCAGGAACCCAATTACCAGAAAAACGTACTACCCCTTGTGTTTTACACCACACATGACTTGTTGCGTGTCGCCGCCGCCAAGTGGCTCTCCATTGGCCGTTCAATCATCTAGCCGTGGCCCATTGTGCCGGGAAGGTATATCGCTGCTAATACGTTGCTTGCGGCGGTATTACGACGCCACACAAAAGCTTACTACAAATTAAAAACCGCGATGCGTAGAATTCGGGTTTCCCACACAAGGGAACATTGCTCCGCGGCCACGAACCTAAAAAATGTGGGAATCAGCCCACACGTTGAAATTGCAACCTACAAAAGCGCTGTGTGGACATGCTGCTTTCGGTCAAGGGTCGCGTTCTGGTCCGCGAGGTGTGTCGCTGCGGCGCTGGTCCACAGCGCAGGATGGACGCCTTGATGACCACCCGTCTTCGGCTCCCCTGCACCCGACGCCCATCCCGACAGGTACACAGTGTGCAGCGAAAAGGCTCCTCCCCTGCGCTCGTTCGCCGGGAAGGGTTGTGCATTCGCCCTGAGTCAGTCGCTCCTCCCGCATGATTCTGGTCCAGCCTGCGTTCGCGCTGTGAAGCACGATTAGGTCACAGCGCGACTTGGCGACAGGGTTTAGTGTCGTTCCTTTCATGCCGATCGACGCCCCAGTATCTGCAGTGCTCTTCTGCGCCCCTTTACAGTGCGGTCTGTTTGAGTGGCTTGTGGACGCCTGCCGCGTTGCCGACGGCGTTCGTGGTTTGTTGCAGCGTCCAGCATTGATCACCGCGGTGATGCTGCCCGAGGGGCGCGTGGGGATGTTCATTCCCCAGCCGGTGCTCGGGGCGGGGCACATGGCGCGGGCCACAAGAACGGCGGAGCAGCCACGCTGCAGTGCGATCGGGGAGGCTACCGGCACTTGGAGTGGCCCCGAACTGGGCTGGATCACAGAGCGGTGGCGCCCTGTCCGGGAGATTGACATCCTAAATGGCGGCGACGAAGGGATCATGGTCGAGCAAGGTAATTGGTAATTGGCACCCCCTGAGCCTCCGCGCAGGGCTCCGCGGGCTTCGCCGACCCACTTTCCGCCTCGGTCCGAATTCAGCCCTGCGGTACGCCTGTCTGGCCGCGCGTTTCAGAGGCTGGCGGTGCTCAAGCTGTTCAGTTCATCGCCCTGCAACACAGAATCAGCTGTTGCCAGGGAGGCAATGCCGAGGCAGTTGCATGCCCACGGAGTTGGCGCTGTAAGTGTTTCAGCACATCTGCCCCTCGGACTAGTGTTACCCCGGGCACCTACAAGGCGATGAAGGGCTGAAGGACTGCATTTAGATTAGTTGCCTTCTGGTTGTTCACGATCGCCCTGTGGATCCCACGAGTCCAAAGCATGGGTGGCTGGTACCACATGTGAACTGAAGAGAAGAACCCAGGTCCATGAACGGAAAAAGTGCATGGACTTACGACCAAAACTGTACCCATCTGGTGGAGGCATCTGTGCATATGCGATAGCATCAATGCCTCCCCAGGCATGAGCGCATAACAAAAGCCACTGTGTTTACTGCACAGGTCCCCCTCCATTGAAGCTTGCGTTTAGTGGCGGTGGCATCTTCTTTTGGTGGGAACTAGGTGGGTGCCAGCACTCCTTCCCACGTGCCCATTTCCTATGCCATCACGCAAGCTGCTGACGTGCGCCTTCTGTCAACGATCTGGGATAATTATTGCATTTGATTGCTTGGTGATTCAACAGTGGGATGCAACTTCTGCAGGAATGCTGAACATGATACCTTATGTACCAACTTGGTGCAATGTTTGACTCTGTATATGCAACCCAGAAGAAAGAAATCCACTGGGCAGTGGTGGAGATGACGGTGTTGTAGCAGTTAGTGCATGGCAAGCTAAGAGAGGTGACATGTTACCATCATATTGTTCGAATGTCATATGTATTGCTGTCAATATTGACTGCCTGCCAAGAGGGATATGTGTTTCTTCACAGAAATGGGCACATTGTGCAGCCTCTGCTCTCTTTGCAACCAAGAAGTTCTATTGGCTGCATGATTGACAATGCCTGTATGGTAAGAGCTGATCTCAGATCTGAATGTGTGCAGTGTTGACGATATTTGTACATACCTACATGACCGTGACCAATTCAGCAGACTGTTCATCCCTGCTACATTGTTGATTCCATCAGTTTCTCTTTTGGGGTCTCAGGAACGGTAAAGCAAGCAGCTTGTGTTTAAAAGGTACTTGAGAAGAGAGGTTGTTGGCACCATCCTTTCTACTAAAATTGTCTCCAATAGTACATCGTGCCAAAATTCATCTTCGAAGCCCACAATTGCCTTTACAAGCTTCTTAACCTTTGATATACATCGATACACGCACATACACAGCAAAAAAGAATACCTTCTGAAAGAGAATTCTCGTTGGCAGCACCGTGAGGATGACCGTGTATGTAAGCTGCCAAGATCTTTCTTTTAAAGTCTTCTTTGAAAGACAAAGCAGGGCCCTTGCACCTTGCATGTCGTGACAGATGTGCAACATCCAGAAACATTATATGCAAAAGTGTGAAGTGTAGGCTGCTCATTTGTATTTCCCAATTGCAGGCTGTGTTCAGTGGCTGTCAGAGCACTATGATCTGAAGAAAACCCCTATGGTGGGTGCCAGCGGCGGTGCCTTGGTTTCCACACTGGCGGCCACTGGTGTTGAGCCTGAAAGGGCACTGGAGTGCGCGCGTCGGCTTGGAAGGAAATACGAAATCTGGGAGAGACCTCTGGGTGAGTTTTTTTAAGTTAGCACATTGGCTTATGTTTGTATCGTGGTTTGAAGGAGGTTATTTGTTTGGGACTATGTGCTGAGTTTGTTGCATGTAAGGTGTGTCCATGGTGTGTGGTGCGAATTGGCTATGTGAGGACCGTACATGTTGGGGACTGTCCCAAAGTGACTGCTCAAGTCTTTGCTTCATTGGGTTCTTACTGCTATTGGCTTTCTGCCCTTTCAGAGTCCATTGCTTACGATTTTCGTGTTGGCATTCCAGTTGAGACACTGGGAGTGGCTGCAATCACGCATTTTGCACAGGCAACGTGCTTGCCTAAAACAGCAATGAATGCTTGAGATCAGTGACTTTGTTACAGTTGAAGAATTGACTACTGTTGGCTGTTTGCTGCAAGGCTTGATGGGTGTCTGGGGGCAAATAATTAGGGAATGGCTGGATGAGTTGCTGCCCAATGATGCGGCAGACTTGTGCAGGTGCGACTCCTTCACCACTTGCTGGGGAAATGACAAAAGAGACATCATTCTGCACAAAGTAAATTGCTTTCAGTGGCATGTGTTCACAGTGTCTGCAGAAACTGGCATATGGGTTCTGTAGATCTGGACATTTGAGCATCTGCACTTCTCATGTTTGTGAGGGAGCGGTTTATGCCCATGTTATAAGGCACCTTCCAGTGATGTGAGGTAGTACCTCCAGCTTGAATTTACAATTGTATTGTTTTGCAGTATTCATTGTCTGATTTGGATAGACTTATGTGCACATGTGCACGAGTGCTCACACAGGGCATGGTGATTGCAGCCCAAATGGTGGATGGTTGTGGCCCCAGTCAGGGGTTTCGATTTGAGGTTGGGGATCTTGATGGAGATCTACTTGTTCAGGATGATGGAAAAACGCCTTCTGGTGTTGACAATCCACCTCACCTGACTAACAACAACAACAGCAAATTGATGCACCCTGTTGCACCCACTGGTAGGCAACCCTGAAGGAATTGGTTCACTTGCATGGTTTGGTACACTTGACAACAGTCATTCCAGGTGCAAGTTTTTTGCCTCTTGATTGTACTGCAGACTTGTCTGACTGTGACATCTGTGTGTGAGCAGGGGAAATGTGGAGGCAGTTGTCACAAAGCTGCCTTTTTTCGAGCTTGCTGCTTACTCAGACTTCAAGTCAAAGGTGTGGGAGTTGGCAATGTGTATCCTAAATTGTTTGAATCTCTTCACACATTGTATAAAGTAGCATCATCACGTGCATATTAGCATCTGCATCGTATGGTCAGTCATACTGGCTGGTCTGCTTGGCATTTCTTGCTCAATCTTGTATTTGCGCAAAATTGTACTTCCAGCAGTTTCCAATCTTGTGCACAAAGTTGCTAATAGTGCAGCATATGTCAGCATGAACAGTGCTGGCACTGGACAGCCCTATTTATAGGCTGTGGTGCCCTTCAGTCCTTTTTCCTGGCTATCTAATAGCTTGATGTTTAGTCGAGATTCATAGATTAAGAGACTCATGGGGCTCCACAGCCTGCATCAGGGTGTGTCATTCCTTCAATGGTCCATCAGCGGACGTAGCTTGCCAAACTGTCAAATTTATGGCTATGTCCAGAAGGCGTTTCCTTCATTGGAGTTGTACTCCTGTTGACAGCACATGCGGCTGTCAAGTTCTCGTTTCATCCTAATGCACTGGTTGGTGTCGACAGGAGGATCTCATCGATGTCAACATGGCGTCTGCTCACGTTCCGTTCCTTTTGGATGGACAAGCATCGACGCTGTGCAGGTATCGTTTGAGGCCGGAGGGATTCAAAACTGGCACATCCAGGCACACCAATCGGAGCAACGTACTGTGCCAGCACTGAGCCAGTTTTTGTGCAGTGGATCAGCCAATTTTAGGGCAGACAAATAGCTTCAGGGCAGATTGTTAACTCCAGCATTGCACAGCAGACTGATAAAGGCACGAATTGGACACACTGCCACCCATTTTCCCTCTTCGAAAAGTGTGAGACAACAAATAGTGCGGTTCTTCAAGGGGACAGCAGATGGGCAATTCTTCTGTTCGATACAGAAATTGAAATTAAAATGAAGGACAGAATTGTCTAACTTGCCTCAGCGGTGCACTCTGTTGACTGTACATATCACCTGCACCTTGTGCATGACAGCATAACATGTGTGTGGCCTGCTGTGCTTCAGGGGAAGCTGGTGCATTGATGGGTCCTTTCAGGATTTTGTCACCAACTCCAATTCCCATCTACTGACATGCGGGGGCAACACTGTAATATTCGACTATTCTCAGGTTTGTGTGCTTCCTAAGTGCTAGTGCAGATGGATCAGGAACTCCACTGGATTGCGCGCTGTCCGTGGGGCCTCCTTACCACAACACTGCACAGCAGCATAGTGTGGACTGAGGGCTGGCAACTTTCCCAACGGCGCCCAGTATGTGCAAAGTATCTTGCTTATCGCATTTGATACATGCAGTGAACGCTCAATTCTCTGTGGCAGGAAACCTGGTACTCTTCCGCCTCTTTGTCCCTTCTTGCTCCGGGGACCAGCTTCGAGTTTCACGGACTGCAGTTGCCAAATATGGCAGCCAAGTTCTTTGCACATTGCAGATCATGATGGGAGCGTAATTTGCACTCGATAGAGAGCCAATCCATGTTTACTCAAATGGCAAGTACCAGGATTCCACACACAGGGACGTGGCGTGGCACATGCATTGCTGTGTGTGCCTGCCGCTTGTCGCTGTGTGCCGAGATGGGCGCGCCCTGTTCAGTCGCTACAATTCATACTCTTGTACGTTCACAACATGTCGAACAATGGGCCAGATTTTGGCAAAGTGGTGGTGCACTGGTAGCACCGTACTTTGGTCCTAGGTGTGGCACTGGATTGACGTCAGCGTGGCTTGACAGTTGTCATCTGTCGGCAACGAAAAGGGTGCATTATTAATAGATAGGCAGCCTGCTGGAAAGCAAGCGGAATAGGAGAGCACAGGAGTTCGACACGCTGTTTCTTCTTCTGTTTCCAGAGCACGGCACTGTGATTATGGTCCTCGCCCTGTCCTGTATCTGGTGGTTTGCCACACTACTCTGTCTTCATGCGGATTGGTGGCGGCCCATATGCCTCGCTGCCAACGCACACAGAGGCAGGAGGACTCACACGAATTGGCACTGCTGTGAGCTGCGTGATCGTTCAAGCGTGTATGGCCTCTCGAGTCTGCTTCGCGTTATGCACACGCTGCTTGGGGCACTTCTGTGTCTGTACTCGCCGGGAAACATGGCAGAGCAACACACAGGACGACTGTGCGGAACCCGGTTTCGCATCGTGCACACACGAACCCTCTCCAATATCAGGAGGGTGAAAGCTCTTTCGGCTTGCGTGTGCAGGATGACGAATTGGGAGCTCAACGAATGGACTTTCTGAGCCTGAAGGAGTACGAGGAGGTGAGGGAGCTGATGGAACTGGGATACAGGCACGCCCAGCGATTGTACGACAGAGGCGCATTTGACAAATTCGACGTCAGCATGTGCCAACAGGGCTGGAGTTGGCGGCTGTTGCCGCAGTGGAGCTTCAGCTCGTAGAGCATCGTGGAACGTGACACATTGGGTCCAGATTCTTTATTCATTATTTTGTGCAAGGGCTGTTTTTCCTGCTGTTGCGCTGTGTTGATGGGGGGAACGAACCAGCAGATCCTGGTGCAGAATTGCTAAGTTGCCATCGCGGTGTGCGATTTAACAGCGCTGGAAAATGTCGAGGGGTAGGGGCCAGTGGGTGACCCGTCGTCGCCCATTTCGAGTCATGGCGGCAAACACGACTACCTGCAATGCACAGCATCGCACTCTTGGGCCGTTTGAGTGATTGCCGCAAAATTGATCTTGCCTGATTGACTGCATTTCGATGTTGCGCGTTTTCATTCCTTCAGTGCTTTTAAAATCCATGCGAACGCCACAAAATGCTGGTCATGTGGTGCAAAACACCTCGACGAGCCCTCCGCAGTACCTGCGACCGCCCTGTGACATTCATCCCGGCGACTGGCCATGTCCTGTCGCAGCCCCTCGATGCACTTCGGGGGGCCGGACACAGGCGCTGCAGCCCACAGATTGGAAATCCCACCATACTTCTTCGACGCTAAGCCAAGCGCAACCAGGGTGAAAAACATGGCCACATGACAGGGCAGACCATGAGTATAAGAGGGGACGGATGCCCGTTCCTTGGGCGGATGATCGTATCCAGGCACTGAACCCACATGCCAAGCCACATACATCGAGAGCTGTGGCAAAAGTCTGTGCCTTTGTGCTATCCAAATCACACCAGTCCCCATCGCATTGGAACACATTCCTTGTCTTTCAGCCGGCGACGAGCTACAATTCGCCGTTCATGCAATCATGGGATTGGCCGCCAGCTGCAATTGCAGTGCCATGTAATGAAAGAGAAATCGGCAAAAATTGTTACAAGTTAAACGATCCCCAATCCTGGCATGCAGTTGTATGTGGGGGTATGCGGTGCACCTGCCACTGTGTGAGGTCATGAATCAGCCCCCGAAGCCCGTCGCCAGCTTGCCCAAGAACGACTTGGGCTCAAAACGCTTCAGCAGCGGCTGCCACACACACCAAATGCCGCCACCTTGTTCTCAACATCCGCAGAACTACATGTTCACACCCATATATCCCCCGATCCTACCAAGCGATTCGGCAGTGCCCATCAGGTGTTGTGCATTGCTTAGATTGGGTAATGCAGCGTCGGCAAAATTGACACCCAGACGGCAGCTGTAAAGCTCTGAGGGGTGTGCCTTCTGGCCAAAACTGGAGTTCAAAACTTGAAACACAAGTTACGCTGCAAATGAAGATACGCCAGAGGTGCACATGCGCACCTCAAATCTGGGATCTTGTCGAATTTGCCGCAGATCTGGATCAGTTCGAAGCTGGTTGAAGTCATCGTAGCCCGTCTCCAGACAAGCTGGCATGCGACGCAACATCAAGAATTCACTCACGCACATTCTGTCAGATTCAGATATCTGCAAATCCTATCACTGAGCAGACAACTCGACAAAGATATCGGCAACGTCCCACATCCTGGATACGGGAAGGGCGCACACGGCCGATGCTATACCTACCCAGGACATCTCACTCCATAAGCTGAATGCACAGTTCCCCAACCATGTATGCGTCGGTATGCAGAGGTGCAAGTATTCTGAATTGAGGGCAATCAAAGGCCCGTTGGTTGTAGGTCCGACGTCCAGCCTATAAAGCCGAACCCCAGCCAGGCCCATGGTGGTAGGCCTTTTGCTGTGGCTTCAACATGAAGGTCCAACCCCAGTGCAGACCAAGTTTTACCTCAATTCGGGCCAGACTGCTCCCAGACTGGGCAGGGATCAGCTTGAACATCATAATAAACTATGCCGAGCCTTTCTCCCTATCTCTCTTAATCCAGGACACGTAACCCATTCTAAGTGACTTGTGTGAATCGGCCCAACCGCGAGGACGCTAGGGCAGCAACACAACTGGGCCCTGCGAACAGAGTCTTGCGATCCAGATCAAGCACAAAATCAGCCATCCATGGTGGCGACCATGATGGGGAGCAACAGGAGCATACATGCACCCCGAACTCCAACAAAATCAGTGTGCTACAGGAGGTGAGGGCTCCAAAAAGGAACGAGACCTCTGATTGAAGGTTACCCAGCATGCAGTGCCACAACAGACAACGGAGCTGACCCACACACAACTCTTGCGCGATCAAGAAAGCCAATAGCTCATTTGACCATTCTGCAAGCTCACAACACAACAATACTTGGCTTGCGTGATGCAACCGAGGTATCAGCTGTTGTTTCTGTATTGCACACAGAAATAACCATCCTTCTGACCACCCGCCAGCTTCTGAGCTTTTCTTGTACAAGTATCAAGTCCCTGACATATGACAAGTCACTGCTGGAAAAACTGCAACCGTTGTAAGGGTAAGCAACACCCTTGAATAAACTTGCCCCTCATCGCCTGGAAGGCGCAATTGCAGTCGCAGGCCTCTGCACCTTTAATAAGGAGGGTTCCGCACTGCAAACCAGAGAGCGGGCAGGACAACGCTCACCAGCAAGGGCCTGAAGCCCTGGCCTCACATCATTTTTCCCTGAGTAGCAGCATGCAATGTTGTACAGGGCAGCCATTTTCTCGCCTGTGCTTATCTCTGGAGGTTTGTTCCTGGCAATTTCACAACCACCCAAACTGTAGGTCAGCGGAGGGTTTTTGACAGGGAATGGCCAACAAAGTCTGCACATGGATGAGCCACTGGAACATCTGTGACTGCTTGTTCTCATGAGACGCAACAGCCAGTCTGGCATTCTTGCGCATCGCGTCAGAATGAATGCATGGACTGAAGGAAATCAGCCACAATAGGCATCTCTTTCAAGTCACCAATGGTCACCTCCAGGACCCCAAGGGCAAAGTTCCCCAAACATCAGAACCATGTCCGCAAATGCAATAAGAACAGCTGTCCTAGAGAGGGAGCAATGGCATTACCCCATGCATAGATATTTTTCTGGATTGTGTCAAATGTGTAGTGTAGCATACCATTGTGACCATTGGAATTTAACATGAAGCATGCGTAAATGCACCTTTCCAACTTCTGGTCAGGCAGCAGACTGATCAGAGGCAGCATGTGGCATCTCTGTCTGCCAATCTGTTCTCTGGTTCAAAAGAGCCAAACCATAGATGCACAGACTTACAGTCGACAGCTCGAAATTCAACCCCAGCACTGCACCTAAATCTCCGGATACCAGAGCCTGGAAGGTCCAAAGCTTGTTGAAACAGCGCCAGAGCATCATCAAATCTGCAAGTGCACAAAACTACCCTGTTATGTGTGCAGCTTGCTACAGCTCGGTTTTTTCAGCAACGGATGTGAAGGAGCAGCCGTAACTGCAATTTTATGCTGGTCCCAGTCCACGTGTGTTTTGAAATTCAACTGTTGACATCCAGCGGCTTCAGCTTGGATATCATACTTCAAGAATCTAAGCACAATTTGGCACAAGTTTGGCTGCATCACTGTCAGTCCAATACTATGTTAAACGTGGCAACATTTATAGTGCCACGGGCAAGGCCCATGCCACCCATCTAAAATGCTACTGACCTTCCTGATTCATATCTTTGCAAACCCATGATTATGGCAGTTTTTGCAGTGTCCGCAACATCATAGCTGTCAGTGCTGGCTTCGGCTCCATCTGTGTCGGCATTCCCACTGCTGGGCTCAGTTGCTTCTTCTGGGCCAAGATCTCTATTGCTGCATTCAGCTCCTTCTGTGTCAGCCTCCCCACTGCTGGCGTCTCTTGTTGAGCACTTTGCACTCCAGCTCTTGGCAGTTTGGATGTCAAAGATGCACTGTGTGTCTGGCCAACTCCGGTGGTGTTGGGGTATGCCCCTACAGAGAGATCACTACTGATTCAACTGGTGCTTGTGAGCAACACATGCACCCGTTCATTGATACCGCTGGATCAGCCTGGAGGGCGTTCCCACAAATCATAACATCCTTGTTGATTCTTTGAATTGGTTATTGTGGTTTCATGGCCAGTGCTTATCCACTTCATTGCTTGTGCACATTCTGTTTCAAAGAAAAATGCAAGGCCCATATCTAAGTGCAGGTGCGGCAAACGATCCGTGCACGTTTGGGTCAAACCGCATGGCCACAAAAGACATACATAACACATGAACCACATGGGCACTGCAGGACCCTTTATGGATTGCGATTCCAGGTCACAGGGCAAAACAGGCATTTCCTGGCACAATGGACAGAGGTTTTGATTGCATTTACTTTCTTTATTGGACATCCATTGAATACTGATAAACAACACTGCAACCCAAGCAGCTGGTCATTGACTGCAACTGGATTTTGGGCCTATTTATTTGCACGGATGCTTTGCCATGGCTGCTGTGGGTCAACAACAAGCTAAAGGCTGTGATGTGACACCATTGTTATGATTCACGATTCAAAGAGACAGAAGCACCTATCAATAGTCACAATGGCACATTTTTTGTTAGGGTCGCTGTTCGTTTTGTGGAAGCAATGGTTGTGCATGGCAACTGTTCTCAGGGTTGTAACAAGGCTGATGAAAAGCATTGTCAGGCCAGGGGCCATCAAGTGAACGGGATCACCCTCGTAAATGTTGTGCCAGCTTGCGCACTGCTTAAAGGAAGAAGTAGCGAGAATAGTTCTGCCCAAGTTGAGCTAACGCTTGCCTCCTCGAGTCAGAATGCTGACACAAATTGAACACAGTTTTGGCACGTTTATTCAACTGCAAGTCTCCTGAAGAGGACCTCAGTGAAAAAGGGGAAGCGTTTGGATACAAGATCCGCATCACCGTGCATCTTCGCCCCCTGCTTGCTCCGTGCATTAGTGAACGGTCCACAAACCACAGCAAGTTTTTGCATCGTGATGCAGGGTTAAGATTAAGAACAAGAGCCATTGCGGGTGGGTGCGAGCCTTTCGGGCTGCACTGTTAGACACCGATAGACCCTGGGACGTGCTCTTCGACGCACCGCCCTGGGCAACAGCAACTACCGCCTGAAGGCTGGACCACCTCGCATGCAACCCAAAGACCACTCTCCGCAGCACCACCTCCAGACTGGGGCATCAGTTTCCAACGCAAGAAAACAAGAGGCGAGTGAGGACTGCGGTGTCGACGGTGAACGGCGGAAGGGCCTGTGCCGCCTGGCTTCCACTTGCACGAATTCTTATGTCTTCGTCCAGAGCGATTGGCGCCCTGCAAATATGGGTCGCGCTCGGCTGCGCGATTCTCGAGGGCTGTACCTGCGGTTCAGCAGCTTCGAGGGAACGGGGACCCTGGTCGCTCGAGCTTGATGCGCCCCAGCGACGGGGCGCGACGGCGACAGGTGCGCAACCTGCATCCTGGCAGCGAATGCCGAACACCCAATGGTGGGGCATAAAATTACTCCCTGCATCAAATCGGTGACTGCTTGCACGAAAACGGTGACTGCTTGCACCAAGTCACGTGCACATCATGTCCAACTCCGTCAAAACTAACCTAACCTAAAACCTAAACCCTAAAACCTAAACCTAAACCTTTCCTAACCCTAACCCTAACCCTAACCCTAAAACTCACCCTGAACTAAACCTAACCCTCAAACTGAGGTTAGGACAAAGTGTGCACGTGTCTTGGTGCAAGCAGTCACCGATTTGGTGCAGGCAGTAATAATATTTCCAATGGTGGAATGGTGTCGACTCCGTATCCCTGCTGTGACTGTCCCGGCAAAGATTTTCTCATTTTTATTTTTAGAAGTTTGGTTTGGGATCAGACTACACCGAAGGGCTGAAATACTCTTCAGGGAAAAGACAAGAGTTTCGGCAAAAGGAGCGCAGCACAAATCTGATACTGGAGGTAAAATTGTGTGTGTGTGTGTGTGTGTGTGTGTGTGTGTGTGTGTGTGTGTGGAGGCGGGGGGGGGATTAGGGGACGCCCTCTCACTTGTGTTCACATTTTGATGGTTCTCATGTAAAAGCTGCCACTGTTTTTTTTGTAGCAATTTTTATTTGTTTACAGGGAACTCACTTCTGCTGATTCTCAAGCCCCGCTCAACTGCCTCCGTGCAAAATTGATGTCTTGGAGCGAGGACATCAAGCAACATATGGGTGTCGCGCCGTCAGCTGCATATGCAACATGCATGTTCCCCATGCATGGAGATATCCTGACTTGTTCATAACGGGAATTGGAAGTTTGATGGGATAGAACTTTGCAAACAATCAGTATCGGAGTCCAGAGTTCGCGGCCCACGATGTACATACGTTCTGGAGGCTATTCGCGTCCCAAGTGAGATCATGCAAGGCACACAGTGTGCTCTCGTCGGCCCTTACCTCCCGCCGTTCAAGTGGAGGATCGCCCATCCTCACGCGCACACACAAGCACCGCCTTCTGGCGGGGTCGCCCATGCATCAATCCCACACTCCAAACGTGCAGCTGTGCTTGCATAGCACATTCTCTCTCAAGCATCCAATCACCCGTTGCATGAAGGAGCATGCTTTGTCACTCCGTTTCGGCGCTGTGGCGCTGTTTCTATCGAGCCTATATAGCCATACTGTAACGCGTTCGAAACATGCTTCTGGATCGGGAGGCCTGGAAACAGTGCATTCCGGTGTGGACATAAGCTGTGGAAATTCGTGGGGGAAGGCAACACAGTGAGTTTTCTGTCGCAACTTCGTCCGTGAGTGCTGCTCCAAAGTAAGACGCAGAAATTCGTTCTGATCAGCTCGATGCTTTGGCGAAGTACTCGCCAGCTGTCGTCCATTGCTCGATGGTCTCATGAAGATTGCTTTTGCGCTGTTCATCCATGCCTCTTTGGTGCTGGACTGGATTCCAACGCAGCATGGTTAACAATCTCTCACTGCATGGGATAGCCCAGGTATGCCACTTGGTGACTGGGGCACTGCACTTACGGAGAGTCTAATAGACGGCCAGCCTCGACGAGACAATGCCAGTGCATCAGAAGATTGCCCGAGGGAATGCTCAGAGTGCGTTAAGGCATCAAAACACGCGCAGCACAGCTGCATCGATTCTTGAAGCAAAGAAAAGTAAGTGAGAGACTATTTCACTGAGAATTACCACAAATGCAGGAAAGGACAGCCAAATTTTCTAGGACATTAAGGATAAGCCTTTGAATGATGCGAGCACAAACTGCAACGGGGGAACATGATTTGACAGTCAACAGTAGCCCGCCATCAGTGGTTCCATCATGGCACCTCATTGTAACGGTATCCTGGCAGAAGGCTGGACATTCTGTACACCTTTGGGTCACGAGTCGTGTTGCCACCTTTTGTCAAGGCATTAAATTCCCCGAGCAAATGGGGCTGTGTTCCTGTAGGACCCCGGCTCCTTAATTATGGACAATTTCAGTTGTCCTTGACGGTTTGCTGCCCGATCGCAAACCACATTTCACGTGGAAACTGGATGGAAAAAGGCAGTGTGTACGGTTTGGGATGGTCTGAGGCTACAACCTTCGGAAACGATGAGGAAAGGAGTTTGTTTCTACGTTTCAGGCCCGTTTTATGGCCGATGCGAGGGTCCCAGGTTGGACGACGCCATACACGACGAGCAGTCCAAAAAAGAAGGCGTCGTGCTTGGAAGATTGGACACTCACGTGGATCCATGGGGACGCCGGCGTTTCGGCGAGCGCCCCAGTGTGTCGGGGGCGCGGTGATTCATTTGCTGTCAGCCGCGTCTGGGATCGTAGGATGGGTGCTGTCGTGTGCAAAGGGCCCGGGATATCCGAAGCGCCTGAGCCGCTGATGAAACTGGCCATTGCTTCCCTTCCACCGTTCTTGGGCGGCTGGCCACAACGGCATGCCTGTTACCGCAGGCGGCACCCAATTAGTCGCTCTGCCTCTTCCGTGAAGACCTCTTCTTGTTTCGGACGGCCCAAACCCTGAACCACTGACCCACAGACCGGCGTTGGCCTTGTCAGCGGAAGAAGACGGGTCTTCAAGGAAAAGACCAAGGGACTAATATGTTCTCTGCGGCAATAACACCGCGCACGCATTGGCCCATTGGGAGCCCAGCGGTATCCTTGCCGGGGGAAGGGAGTCCATCATCCGCTTGCACCACCGGGGCCGTGCGGCTTCCAAGCCACTGCCACCATCATCGACACCCCATCCCCAGCCCCCAGCGGGTCCTACTTCGCCTGGTCCTGGCCTTAACCTTGCAAATTGTCACGGCCCCCATCGTCAGCTCCGCGTCAACCCTTCCCTTCCCCGGACTGCGAACTGGCCCCGAGGCTGCGGCCCAGGCAGCCTGCCCGTCGTACAGGGCCCCACCCCCTGCCATCACTCCCCCCTCATAACACGAGCGATCAAACGGCAAGGCCACAGAGGGCGGCCGTGGCCGACACTCCAACACGCACTGGTAGCGCGAGCCCCTTCCGGCGCAGCGCCGCGGCCTGTCAAAATTTCCTTGCTCGACAGCTGCGCGCCGACGGTCTCTTGGTGCCCTGATTGGCCCGCCTCGCCCCGCGCTGACCTTGGGAAGGCGCTCGCTCGACATGGGGCCGGCGCGGGCGTTGCACGCGTGGGCGTGGCTGTGGATCCTGCTGCTGTGCGCGGCGGCGTGCGGCGGCGCCAAGGTGCGGCCATCCGAAGCGGTGCGGCGGAGGCTGCTGGAAGACACGGCGCTGGGGAGCCCGGCGAGCGAAATCGCGCCCAGGCTCGGCCTTCCGAGGATCCAAGGTGGGTAGTATACAAGTCATATTGTAGGTTTGGGGGTTGTGGCCTTGTGGGGAGAGCGCGCCCCTTGGGGAGGCGGGCAGACGGCAGCACGACCGTGGGCGTGGGGGCGTGATGGCGTGGTGTCGTGATGGCGGATTCTCTGCCTGCCCGTGGACGCTGTGAAGTTGGTGTGAGGGAGACGGGTCGGCGGCAACTGCGGCGAACCTGGAAAGGCATCCCTCGAGCTGGTTTCGGCAAGGGTTGGGTGGCTGTTGCGGTCGCGAAGGGGTCGGTGGTGGTGCGGGGGGCGCGGGGGCCGCACCCGCGTTCCCGCGGCTGCGGGGCCGCCTGCCTCCTGGGTCAAGGCGGCGGGAAGCAGGGAAATCCCAGCGTGGGGTGCGTGTTTGATTGGTGCGGGACCCTCGGAAATCCTGGGGATCCACGTAAAAGTTACGCTCACCTTGTTACGCCGCGTTACATAGTCGGGGCCGGCAGACTGCTGCGCGACGCCGCGCTCTGGTCGAGCGCAGGGCGTCCTCGGAGCTGCATGATGTGCGTCAACTCGACGTTTATGGTCCGACAATTATGGTCTGCCATTTCTGCCTTCGAAAGTGCGTTTCCAGACTGAACACGTGATTCACGACGTGGAATGGCTTGGTACGCCTCCCCCCCCCCCCAAAAAAAAAAGGAAAAATGAACACTAAAGGCAACAGAAACGAAGACAAACACACAAAGGAGCTGGACAAAAGCAGGGTTCTGCCGAAACTTGTCCAGATCAGCGTTCGTACTGTGAAGTGTGGCGAGGAGGGCGCAGGTGCAGACTGCCACAGAAAATGGAAGAACATGGGTCAGGTGGCTTCTTCTTAGGACGACAGCCACCCGCCGATGGCAGTGCTGTCGCAGGCAGAGATGCCGCACAATGTGGCTCATATCCTGCCTCCAGTGACCGGTTACTGCCCACAGCGGTTTCCCACAAGCAAGACGGCAAAAGGAAGGAAAGTGGCACAAACTTCCCACACAAGAAGGCATCCAGCTGCCTTGATGAAGTGCTTGTTTCAAGCACTCGGAATGCACACGATCTACCAACTGCCATTTTGTTCCCCTGTATGTCATGACGATCTATGTGCGTGCACTGTCATGGTCAGCAGTAACTGATGAGATGTTGTACAGTTATTGACAAGGAAAGGACGCGTCAGGGTGCTCAACTGTTGCCCATAATTTGTGGCATTCCCTTGCACGCTTGGCTTCAGTGCCCTGGTGGCAACCATATATATATGACTTGATAGCGCTTCGATGTACCAATACAAGAGCTCAGATATGTGCTGAAGTGCAAACAATCGCACCAGTGTAAAGTCCACAGCACTGATGCACGGCGTTGAGACATTCAAAGCTGTTTAAGGAATCAGCAAATTGTGTGAGTGCAGTAGCATTTCCCTTGTCGAGGTCAATTGTAGGGCCATTAAATAGTACTTGCAAATGCACATAGCCGTGTGTGGATATTGGCAGGCGCATCCAAATGATTTTGGGCTGTTTTAGCAATGTCATGAGCAGTACAAACAATTGGCAGCTGGTGACAAGGTGTGAGTTGGCATCTGTACTTATGTGCTGATTTTCCTTCGCTCTTTTCTTGACTACCTTGCTTCCAACTAACAAGATGTCACAGATTTGCGTTGACCAAACGACGATGCTGTGTGGCAGTGAGGCCCTACAATTGATTTTGGTCATGTTGTTGATACCTAGACAGAGAACTGCCAGGGTACCTACAAGGCAATATGATGGGTGGTGCATACACAAATTCCTGCACATGTCATGCAGGAACAGTGAGGCTGCATGGGACCTGCACATACATCCTCTTCCCCCAGACCAACACACCTACTGCACCCGCACCCACTTATCCACCCACCCTACATAGGCAGTCCTAAGTATGCTCCAAGTAAACCACACACAGTGATGTTGAGTATGTGTGATGTTTAGAGCATGTGGCAAGTTGAGTCTGGCTGAGAGGCTGTCAGGCAATTGTCACCTGTGTTGTCAGAAAAGGTCAGTGCATGGAGGGAATGCAGCAAGCAGAGATCCCTTTTCCAAGCACTCGTCTGCCAAACTAATGCAGAGGAGTGCCAAGCTCTGTCGTCATCTTTGCCAACTTTCTTTGCTTTCTCTTTCTTTGGGTTTACGGACGGGTTGGCAAAGAACAACAGTGCCACATGGTGGCAGATTTTGGTTTGAATGCCCTGATTCTTCTCGTTGTTTGGATTGCTGGCTCGGGCTTCATGCAATTTGTGTTCTTTCTGTACAGACCCACTGAGTAGCCTCGACTTCTCGGTAGCTTTGCCCAATGAGCTGCAGATAGCCCGAAAACTTAGGCAAGCAGCAGAGGACAAAAATGAAGTGAGTTGCACTCGTTTGCCAGGTTGCAGGCCCGCCTGAGAATGTGTTTGTGGTTTGAGTGATTGTACACAGGAATGGGATAACCCCACATCTTTCATGCTTCCCATCCTCTGATTGTTTTCAGGTTTTGTCCTTGACATTAATCCCCCCCTTCAGAAAGGTGCATTGGACCTGTTGTTCTTGCTGTCATATGTGTGTGCAGATATCATGCCCGTAGTTTTATGGATAATGCTGGGATGCGGGACTTATGTGCAGAGGGATATGTCAATATTTGCTATGTGCTGGTGGCATGTGAATGCACCCATTTGGTGGAAACAAGACCTTGTGCCCTTGAACAAATAAATACGACGTGTTGTGAACTCCAACAAGGTGTTTGGGTCCAAGCGAGTCCTAGATGCCTTGGGCTGGCACAAGGTGAAGTTTCATGAGCACTCCAGTCAGTTGGAAACAAGTTGACAGTGCTTGCACAGGTCCCTGGAGAGTACAAATTCCCTTGCAGCATTTACTTGTCCTGAGAACAAAGTGCCTCTATGATTTCCTGTTTCATGGGGCAAGTATCCTGGTCAATACCTGACCCATTGTCAATGTCACCAAAGATTGGGGCTTGTGAGCAGATGCTTCTGGATGCTGCTGGTGATGGCGATGTGGATGAAGTGAAACAACTACTTGAAGATGGAGCAGATGTAAATACTACAGATGCCAGTGGAAACACACCCTTGATTCTTGGTACTGCCGACGGTTCCATTGAAGTCGTGAGGTGCGGGTTGCAACAATTCAACGCATGGTTGACTGTGGTTTTGGTCACCAAACATGGTGACTTGCATGCACAGGTGTGCATAACACACGCCCATGCACCTGCCCGTTGAGTCATCCAGTGTGAATTGCAAGTTTGGGAGCATGTTAAAAGTGCATTGATCTTGACTTCACCGGTTGCAAGGAGAAAGATCCAAGTGGCTTGCAAGGATGACATATTTTGAGGCCAAGCAGCCAAGAGTAGTTTTGCCTCGATTCCTAAGCTGCATTGCCAGCTTGGACTGCAATGGTTATGTCAGCAACAAGGTGCAGTCCTTGTGAAAAGAAATGGCCTCCACCTACATTTGTGGACACCTGCAGTGAACTAGACATGTGTGAATCCAAGGCTGCCCAATGCCGTCAGTACAAGTATTTTCCACAGCGGATTTGTCCATATGTAGCGTGCTAAGAATGCAGTAAAAAAAGGGCCCATATGTGGCATCAGATTGTGTGTTCATTGTCGCGTATAGTTGACAGTGGTGAGTCTCAAGCAGTTCACCTGATGGATAGAATTCCTTGCTGCTAGGGTGCTTCTGGATGCTGGCGCAGACATCAATGCCCAAGGAGCTTTTGAAGGAACGGCACTTCGTTTCGCTGTGTCGGTTGGTGTTGCTGCCATAGTGGAGCTTCTGGTTGTGGTAGGACACAGATCAGGGCAAATTTTGATACAGCAGAGTTGCGAAACGTTCCGAATAACCGGAATAGCATGCTGCTGCCCAGAGTGACTGTTGTGTAAGGACTGTCATGCTCGCACCTGGTGTGCTGCACAACTGCCTGCGCTTCACATGTGTTCACGATGGCATTGCAGCTGTCAAGCAAGCCTCTCTTCTTCTGGAAAGTTAGATTGGAAAACCAGAGCTGTCAACACTTTCGCTCCCTTAATTGCTCCCATCATGGCTTGCTGCTCCAGTGCTGCTTACTGTCAACATTTCTATGCATGCATGGATCAGGGCGTTGGATCAGGGGTCAGCGGCAGCCAGGGGATCCCTTCTCAGCTTTATTGAATGTGCTCTGTAGCTTCGCTTCCTCTTTCCTTTTTGTTGTTTGCTTCTTTTTGGTCTGCATTCGGCTGGTTGATTTACGTTTCTTTCTTGGCCACAGGAGGGTGCAGACACTGAGATCCCAGATGTCGATGGAGCCACACCACTGTATGCTGCTGTAGTGCTGGACGAGCTCTCCATGGTGAAAATCTTGCTGGAGGCAGATGCTGATGCGAATACTGTTGCAGGAGATGGTTCCACAGCTCTCATGCGGTCGGCGCAGCTGCAGACAGCTGATATCATGAAGGAACTTCTGGATGCAAATGCCACAGTGGATGCTGAGACCCCAAGTGGCATGACAGCACTGCACTTCGCATCTGTATTCGGAACCGCAGAAATCGTCAACGTGAGTGATGACTGGCACACGACCTCTCCAGTACTTGGGACAACAACAGTACCTGCAACATGTTTCTGAAGGCATGCACAATTCCTTTGTGCGAGTCTTGGATTCCAGCATATTTAAAAGAGCCCAGGGACCTTCTCCAGACAAACAGAAGGCATGTGGGCCTTGTGCCAGGTCACAAGACGTGCTTGTTTATGAAATTCCTAACAAGTTGACCGCATGGAGTGAATGGGCAATCTCAAAGAGGAGATATTTTGCATTCCAGGAGTCCCTGACCGATCAGAAATCAAACAAAGTCATATTGGTTCGTTTCCTCTAACTTTCTGAATCAAAATGTGACCTGTGCTCACACCTCACCTGTGACAAGTCCCATCCAACCCACTCGGAATCCGTCTTACCAAGCCCACACATGCATTGTGCAGTCGTGGGTACTGTCCTTTGGATGACTAAGTGCAGGCGAAAGATCTGCCACTTTGCTTCGTTGTGGAATCTTTTATATCGTTGCTTGTTGATGTCCACATGTTCTACAATTCGATTCACAGTGCGATTGCTCACTCCTCAGCTACTGTTGGATGCGGGAGCAGACATCGAGGCAACTACCTCCAGTCGTGGCTTCACTGCTGTCCTGTATGCCGCTGGAGTTGGAAACCTGGAGACTTTTGATGTGCTGGTTGCAAGGGGTGCCGACCTCAAGGTGATGGCAACAGGAGGCTTTGGTGTGCTACATTATGCTGCCCTTGCTGCAAAGAACACCGCAGTAATGGAGGTGCTACTTGACAAAGGGGTGGACATCAATGCCACAACAGAAGATGGGCAGACAGCCATAGATTTGGCTGCTTGGATTGGAGACAAGCCCAACATTGAGTTTCTGTTGTCCAAGGTGAGGGGATTGCATTCCATGATGCCACAGTTCCAGCTTCCCAATGGACACCAACAAATTTCTGGGATTTCAACCAAGATGTACCACACAGGTGCCACCAGTGCCCCCACAATGTGTGCAAATATGGGGGTGATATTCCACGTAAATGACATCCAGCACCTGTCGATGGGCTCATATTCCTGTTTTTGCAGGAATGAACTGCAATCATCCTGGGAAATGTAGCCTATTTTGGCATGTGTGGAATCTGTCTAGCTCACGTTTCAAAGTAACATTCTCCGGTGCATCGAGTTCATGGTACAACTGATGCCAAGGAGCTCGGTGAGACTCGAAGGGTACACTTTTTGTGGCCCCATTTCACTGGCTGGTCACCTGAGAAGAAAGCTGGCAAGTGATGTGGACCTTGTGCAGCTCTTGTGGTTCTGTGCGTCAGCTTTGACGAAGCAAACCAGGCAACAGCACGATCTGATTGAACAAAGAATCGAGATAAAGGGAATACATGAGAGAATTGATCTATCCCGATTATTCACATGGTGCATGCAATACTTGTATTATTCATGATACAAGAATAAGGACATGGAAAGCCAACCAGGTACGAACTTCGCCTCTTGCAGGATTTTTTCACAGTTGGGCAAAGTCATGTGCCGCGCAATATTTGATTCAGTGCATAAAGCGGGCTCAGTATTGTTTGGGCCACCTGCAGGGGGCTGCAACGCGGTTTGTGCATCTACTATAAGCTGTCCCAGCTGTTCGTCTTAACACTGACTTGTAGAAGAATTGCACGATCTTGTGATAGCTACGGTATGTGTAGGCACTATAATCTTGGCAAAGCCACTGTGGATCGATGGTAACAGACATCAGGGCACTTGTCCAACATCCACAGGTGGAAAAGCAATTCCCATCCATATCTGTGTTGACCTTGCCACGATCTTTACACTTTTATTTGCGGATTTGACAGTCTGGCTGCATAGATAAAACTGTGAAGACTGTATAAATTTATCATGTGGTCAAATAAATTGAAGAGGAGCACACCAAGGAACCTGGGGCTGGGGGAGTGTTCCTGCAGTAATCCTTTGGGCCTTATTGCCCGCACTGCAATGTTTCACAAAAAATGAGCCCAGTATTTGTGCAATACAGCATATGTGTGAGCAATGATGAACATTCATTGCTGGTATGCTTGCAGTCCAGTTATTGCGTTTCCAAGCCAGGATCCAAGCCTGCCCTTGCACATACATGCGCATGACTAAACACTTATGAGTTTGATTGTGCGTATCCAGGCACATTCATACCGCTGGAAGGTCATGCCAGCTGCAATTCCAGCCTTGTCAGTGCAAAGATAACGAGCCGGCAGTCGTGCTTTCCACTGAGTGTTCACTGTTCCACATCACTGTCCATGAAACTCACAATCTGACAATCTCCACAATACACATCAAGGGGAACCCAAGGCAGAGACATGGGCATCATGCCATCCACACTGTTCACTTCAGCTCCACAAGTGTATCTACAAGTGGTCCTTTTTCCCGTTGACCCTGTTGGCATCCCTCAGGTTGCACCAACAATGTGTGGTGTGGTGCAGGGTGCTAGTCCCTCTCTCAACGGAATTGCTGTATGTGGCTGCCTGGATGTGGACGACGATTCGAGGTGTCCACCCGAAAATTGCCAGTCAAGGGAAGACATAGACGAGATCAATGAGCTTCTGGGCGTTGAGGTCGTGATCGAGGTGAGGACTGAGCACAATAAGCAATATATGGACAGGTGATAATGCTGATCCCCAAACCACAGACCATGATTTGTTGTCTTCCACTGTCTGTACACTTGTGCTTGACGTTCTATTTGGCATGAAAAAGTAGCAAGTGGCTGTTCTGCAGAGACGGGCGAATGTTGAGCTTTGTGGTGGGAAGATTATGCACAAAGCTATTGTCTTCGAAGCTTGCGCTTACATTTTGCTGGCAGCAGTCAGGATGTGCTTGTAGGTAGTGTTTTGGTGCATTTCCTGTGGCATCAAGGAGGACTTTTCTTGTAAGGGAATGGCTGTGTTTCATTCTTTTCAATACGACCTGACTGCAATTGTCAGCATATGGCAAGGATCGGGATGTTGGCTTTGATTGAATTCCAAGGATGTTGGCAAAGTCAAGAAGAAAACCATTGTGCGGTTGTGATTCCAACGAGGAATAGGCAGCGGCATTGTTGTTGTGGGCCATGTGATCAGATGCATTGGAGCACAACCAAGGCACTGTTGGCTATGTCCTGCATGCTGAATGTTGCCCTCACACCTTTCCTCCGTGTGAAGCAGAGGTGTTTGTGCTGCACACTCACAAAAAGTGCTCATGCTCTTGCCAACAACAGCAACAACAAGTCACCAATTTGCGAAAGTGCGAAGCTTTGCACTATTTTGAGACGTTCACAGTGTGCGAGACTGGCAAGCATGTGCCACTGTTGCAGACGCATGTCAACAAACAGCAGTCAGAGGGGCCGATCACCACATTTTCCACAGATCATGATTTTAAGGCATTGCTTGTCCTGCAAGTGTTATCCACTGCGAGAGCGGCCCACTCTTTGTGGGTGGACACAACTGAGCATCTTGATCCCTTACCATGCTGCAGCTCGTGCCCTTCACTTAACTGCATGTTTCTCTGTCCAGCCTTGACTGCCTGTTGGCAGAGCTGCAGTTCCAGGTGAGGTTACTCACCACCTGTTGGCCATGCAGAACCTCCTACAAGCTGTGGCTGCTGGTGACGAGGAGGCTGTCCTGAGGTTAATCAACGATGGTGCCAACGTGGATGAAACAACCACTGATGGGGACACCCCCCTCATACTGGCATCAGCAAGAGGCCTCGAGGAGATCGTTACCATACTGCTAGATGCAGGGGCAGATGTCAACGCGACAGACAACATTGGCCTGACACCATTGTTGGCTGCATCATTCTTCAACCACCCCTCTGTTGTCAATGTGCTAATTGAGGCGGATGCCAACATAGAGGCGGTGATGGAAGATTTTGGTACCTCACTGCATGTTGCTGCCAGAATTGGCAGCGCAGAGGTCATCGAGCTGCTCATCAGCGCCGGTGCAGACCCCGATGCCAGAAATCCCCCATCAGAGAGCACACCCATACTATTTGCTGCAGGTGGCAATCACCTGGAAGCAGTGCGGGCGCTGATCGACGGGGGTGCCAACGCCACAATTGCGACTGTAACTGGCCTGACAGCACTGCACATGGCTGCCACAGAGCAGGGCTCTGAGAAGATCATGAACATCCTCCTTGGCGAGGTGCGTTGTGTACCGATATTGGGAAGACATCCACTTTTAAGCTGCAGTTCTTGGTTGACAAACTGTCTCTTTTGCATTATTGTACCCCAATGCCCGGAAGATGTTTACTAGAAGGGTCTTGTTTGGTCAAACATGCTGCAGTGTTACTGTGTCATCAGTTGGGAGGTGACCTACATATTCTCGAGCCCTTCAGTCTTGCCACCAGTGAATTTCTGTGTATTTCGTGCTAAGGTTCACAACGAACTGTTCCCATGCATCTTTAAGTGGACCTGTTACCAAATTTCTTTGGCTGGTGATGAGTTGTCCACACTTCTTGTGGGCACATATCTGCCTGAAGGAATCTGCAGCCAGGCCGCCGAACCAAGCAATTCCTACATTCACTGCTTGTTTCAGAATTCCCCAGCTCTGGGCACTGGTGAACAGTCAGTGAAGCGATTGTATGCCTTTCCCCAAAGGCTGTTGGCAAGATGTGCAGCCAGTCAGTCGTTGGAGCAATGTGCCTGCACAGATTCCAGGCCTTCGACCAGTCCCAATAAGCAGCGTAGCTGCACATGTGTGAACCCATTCCATGATTGTCGTAGAGGAAAATGAGAGCATTTGCGGCCCCGAAGTAACAAAAGGTTGGCAACTCTGGACCATGCCAGAACGAGTACATAGAAGTCACAAAATGCACATAGAGCAACACGCATGCCTTGCTACGAAATGTCATGGACTTCTGCAACACCTCGAAAATTTGCCACAATTCGTTGACCCGCAGATCACACGGCGCCTCACTCACTGTCATTGAGTCAGCCACTAAACAAGCAAACACAAGTCATCTGTTCACAGGCAGATCTGCTATTGGGTTTGGGATGGAGACTATCAGTGTGCCAGTACAGTGCCTTCGGGACTGTCACATGGGTTTGCATTACCATGCAGGTCCAAGGTCCGTTTCTGCGTGTGTATTGTTGCATTGTGCAAGGGCCTGTTACAACATGGCCATTACACACCGGGTAAGACAATATGCTGATTCAGTTTTACAGCCAAAGGTGTTCATTGCGGAGCTCGACTGTTTCTTTTCGAGCTCTGAGCAAAAAGCCCCAAGAATGGGCTGCAAATGCACAAGAACACCGTGAATACCCCCCCAGCGGACTGCCATCAAATGTCCCCATGCCCTTTGGCCGAATGAGCTCAAGCATGCCCGCGCGCGCGTGTCTGCCACTGCAGGGAATCGACGTCAACGCGAGGACCACTGAAGACACCACGCCTGTCGTTCTGGCGGCCTATTATGGCAACAAGGGCGCCGTCCTGTTCCTGATCTCTAGGGGTGCGGACACGCAGATCGGCGACGGCGGGCCCTTCGATGTGGTCTGCGGCTGCGTGATTCACATCATAGATCCGAGGCTCCGGCAGTGCGCGGCGGGTGCGTGCCGGTCGCAGGACGACATCGACGAGATTGAGGCCCTGCTGGGCGGCGACGTGCCAGAGGCGGCGATCCCGCCGCCAGGGAGCACGCCCCCGGCGCCCACCGGCAATTCCACCGACATGCCCACCCTGCCAAGCGACGCCGCGGACTGCTCGAGCCTGCCGGACGTCGTGGCGCAGCTGGAGTGCGTGGCGGCGCTAACGGCGCAGCCCACGTGAGGGGGCGTGCCGTGGTGTCTGCGGCTCTGTGCTCCAATTGGGTGTTGGTTTTTGGAAATGGTGATTCTCCCAAACAAAAAACTGTAAACAACGGTTCCAACGAACAATTTCCAGATCGGCGAAAGGGGCGATTTGTGCCTCGAAAGGGACGTTGTTGGCGCATTGAATTCGTCTACAAAATACTTTAACCCTTGCCCAATTCCTGCTGCCCCTTCCAAGCAACTCACCCACCTTTGAAAATAATGAGGAAAGGAGTTGTTGTTTTATGTTCCTGACCCAGGTTATGGCCAAAACAGAGCTTGACCTGCTTGCGGCTGCAAAGGTCGCAGAAGAGATGGCGCCATACATGACAGATTCGGGGGACTGTGACGAAGAGTCCAATAAAGGATACGTCTGTGTTTGAGAGATTAGACGTCGGCACGGATCCACAGGGACGCTCACGTTTTGGCGCGGGCCCCAGCGTGTCACGGGCGCAGTGATTCATTTGTTGTCACCCGTGCCTAAGATCACAGGCCGGGTGCAGTCCCGTGCAAGGGGTCCAATATGCTGCTGCTGATGATGATGAAATTCCATGAATTGCGTGTCAGTCATAGAGGGCTATGCCGCAACCAAACTGCACAAGAACAGTATGTCGGTTGTTTTTCCCAATGTTCGTCTCACTCATGAAGGGTCTAGGACATCTGGGGCCACTGGCAAATTTGCCTGTTGCTCCCTATCCATCGTGTCTGGGTGGTTGGCCACAACGGGATGCTTGCGGTAACACCGCGCCTGCATTGGGCCATCGAGTCGTCGTGCGGCTCCCAAGATACTGCCACAGTCCTTGTCCCGTTCCCCGGTGTACTTTGGACGTTGGACAGTGCCAGTCGTAACCTTGCAAAAATTGTCACGCCCCCCATCGTCAGCCCCGCGTCAACCCTCCCCTGCCCAGGACTGCGAACTGGCAATGAGTTTGTGGCCGCGTGGCCCGCCCGTCGGACGGGGCCCTCCCACCCAGCTCCCCTCCTCATAACGCGAGCGATTAGGCGACCAGGCCACACAGGGCGCCCGTGGTCGACACTCCAACACGCACTGGTCGCGCAAGCCCCTTCCGATACTGCCCCACGGCCGGTTAACAACTTTTCCTTGCTCTACAACTGCGCACCTGTAGCCATCTCCCATCTCCCATCTTGCCCTGTGCTGTCTTCGGGAGGCCGTTCGATCGGCATGGCAGCGCCGCGGGCCGTGCCCGCGTGGGCTTGGCTGTGGATCCTGCTGCTGGGCGCAGCGGCGTGCGGTGGCGCCAGGGTGGGGCTGTCCTGGACGGCGCAGCAGCCGAGGCTGATGGGAGACACGGCGCTCAGGAGCCTGGCGAGCGAAATCTCGCCCAGGCTCGGAAGGGTCCCAGGTGGGAGGGTGGGGAGGCATATATGTCATACATAGCCTACATTTGGGGCTGTCGTCCTTGTGGGGAAAGCGGATGGGGATGCGGGCAGATGGCAGCAGGGTAGCGGGCTGGGGGCGTGATGGTGGATTCTCTGCCTGACTTTTGACGTCGTGAAATGGGTGGGTGGGGGCAAGAGGTGTCGGTGGCATCGGCGGCAAACCTGGGAAGGCGCTGCGAGAGCTGATTTTCAGCCAGCGCGGGGTGGGTGGTGCGTTTGCGAGGCGTCGCTGGTGCCGCGGGGGCTGGAGCCGCGGGAACGCGGCCGCGCCCTTTGGCCTTTCGGTTTGAGGCGGCAGGAAGCAAGGAGGGCCCTGCCTGTTGGTGCAGGTTGTTGATCGGCATGGTGGAAAGGACGCCCAGGGAATCCATGCGAGCGGGAGTTACGCTCACATTGTTACGCTGCGTTACGCCTTTCGGCCACCAGATGGATTGCCAACGCCGCACCACGGATAATGTCCGCTGGATAATGTCCGGTGGCTCGGCGTTGGCAGGCAATTAGAGCCTGCCATTTCTTCTTTTTGAAAGTGCGTCTCCTCACTCGACACGCGAGTCACTACTCGAAACGGCTGGCTACCCACCCCGCAACAAACAAACAAACCAAAACAAATTCAGAAACAGGAACAAATACAAAAAGCAGCAAGGACAACAGAAACAAAAGACACCCACCCACCAACCCACCAAGCAACCAGCTAGAAAAGGCAGAGTTCTGCAGAAGCTACTCCAGCTCTACAGTGATCCAGTGGAGTGTGGCGAGCAGGGCACGGTTGCAACGTGTGTCCTCAAGTTTCCTGTCGCCTGTGAGTGACCGCAGCCATGTGGAGCCGCGCGGAGACACTGACTGCCACAGAAATAGAAGATCACGGGCGAGGTGGCTTCTCTTTAGGATGGCAACCACTGACTGACGGCAGCGCTGTTGCAGGCATAAAAGCCCTATGTAACTTGGGGGCAGATGTCATCCACCAGATGTTTGTGCCTTTGCCAGACAATATGTCTCTCGCCCTGCCTCTAGCATCCAATTACTGCTCACTGCGGTTATCACAAGTAAAGCAACAAAAAGAAAGCAGTACCAACTTCCCACAACAAGAAGGGAACCAGCTGTCTTGATGGTACTCAACTCAACCGCTAGCAAACCAGACGATCTCCCAGCTGGCTTTTCGTTTCTTTCGTATGTCGTGATGCACTGCGCGTGTGCGTTGTCATGGTCGCCAGCAGCTGATGCGATGTTGTACAGTTTTTGAAAGGAAGACGAATGCCAGGGTGCTTAGCAGCTACCTGTGATTTTGTGGCATTCCCATGGACGCTTCCCTTCAGTACCCTGGTGGCGACCATATGCAGCTTAATGGTGCTTCGATGACGCAAAACAAGAGCTCAGATACGTGGCTCAAATGCAAACAATCGCACCAGTGTAAAGTTCACAGCAGTGATGCATGGCATTGAGACATTCAAAACTGTTTAAGCAAGCAGCAAATTGTGTGAGTGGGGTAGTTTTCTCTCTGGTTGAGGTCAATTGCAGGGCCATCAGCTACTATTTGCAAGTGCACGGAGTGGTGTGTGTCCACTAGCATGGGAATATCCAGTTGATTTTGGGCTGCTTTGGCATCGTCAGGAGCTGCAGAAACAATTGACGGCTGATGACAAGGTGTCAGTTGGCATCTTTGCCTGTGTGCTTATCTTCAATTGCTCTTTTCTTGACCGCCTTGTCTCCAACTAGCGAAATGTGTCAGATTTGCATTGACCAAACGAGGATGCGGTATGGCACAGAAGTCCTAAAATCGATTTTAGTCATGTTTGCAATACCTAGACAGAGAACTGCCATAATAACTACAAGGCAGCATGACAGATGGTACTTCAAGTTGTCGTACACAAATTCATGGGCATCTCCTGCTTCAAAAGCCATGCTGTATGGGACTTGCACACACATCCCCTTCCCTTAGACCCACACACCCAACCCATGCCACATAGGCAGTCCTAAGCGTTTTCTGGGTAAAGTAAACGCACATGTGATGTTTAGAGCATGTAGTCAGTAGAGTCAGGGCGAGACTCTGTTGGGCATTGTCACCTGTGTTGCCAGAAATGGTGAGTACCTGGAGGGAAATGCAGCAAGCATAAATCCCTCATCCTGAGCAGTCGTCTGCCAAAACTAGTGCAGAGAAGTGCCAAGCTATGCCCCTGGCCTTGGGCAACTTGCTTTGCTTTCTCTTTCTCTGGGTATGGGGTTGGGCTGGCAGAGAACAGCAGTCCTGCAGGGTGACGAATTTTGTTTGAGTGCCCTGATTCTTCTCGTTGTTCTGATTGCCGGCGTGGGCTTCATGCAGCTTGTGCTTCTTCTGTACAGATCCACGGAGCAGGGTCGACTTCTCGGTAGCTTTGCACGATGGGGTTCAGAGCGCCCGAAAACTTAGACAAGCAGCAACAGAAGACAAGAATGAAGTGAGTTGCATGGTTTGTCAGGCTGTGGCCCTCCCTGAGATTATATTTCTCTGTAGATTGAGTGACTGTACTCTGGAATAACGAAAATCTAACTGTTTGCATGCTTCCCATCCTGTCATGTTTCATTCAGGTTTTGTCCTTGACATACTCCGCCCTGTGGGAACAGGCACACTGGGCTTCTTGCTCCGGGTGTCACATGTATGCGCACACACACTGTGCTAATAGTGTTATGTATGCGGTGGGATGTGATATCTATGTGCACAGGGATATGTCAATGTTCACTATGTGCTGGCCACACCTGAATGCACTACTTTGGTCAAGTTGAGCTTTGTTCCACCTAACAACAAAATGAAAGGCATTGCGAATTCCAAAAAGGGTGTTCAGGTCCTTGCAAATGTGTGCTGCCTTGGGCTGGTGCAGGGTGAAATTCCATAAGATTGCCAGTCAGTTGAAAGCAAGTTGAAATCAAGTTGAAAACTGCAGGCGCAAGTCCTTGGAGAGACCCCAATTCAAAGGGGAGGCGTTGCAGCATTTGCTTGTCCTAAAAACGAAATACCTCAACAATTATTGCCTGTTTCAATACCTGTCCAATTATAAATGTCACCTTAAGATTGGGGTTTGTGAGCAGATGCTTTTGGATGCTGCTGCTGACGGCGACGTGGATGAAGTGAAACAACTACTTGAAGATGGAGCAGACGTAAACACTACAGATGACAGTGGAAACACACCCTTGATTCTTGGTGCTATCAGCGGTTCCAGTGAAGTCGTGAGGTGCGAATTGCGACAATCTTGGGAATGGTTGACTGTTGTTTTGGTCGCCAAGCACAATGACATGCAAGCACACGTGTGCATCACATATTCCCATGCACCGGCCTGTGATTTATCCAGTGCAAAACTGCAAACCTTGGAGCATGTTACAAGTCGATCGAACTTGGCTTCACCATTTGCAGGGAGAAAGATCCAAGTGGCAGGTGAGGATGACATATGTCGATGGCAAGCAACCAAGAGCAGACTGGCCTCAATTCCTAAATTGCACTGTCAGCTTGGACCCCGATGGTTGTGTCAGCAACAAGGTGCAGTCCTTGTGAAAGGAAATTGCATCTTTCTACTTTTGCAAAACCTGCTGTGAACTGAACCTAATTAGACCCAGGGCTGCCTAATGCCATTAGGGGAAGCTGTTTCTACAATGGACTTGTCCATATTTAGGCTGCAAAGAATGCAACAAGAAAAGAGTCCATATGCAGCATCAGATTATGCATTCGCCACTGTTTGCAGTTGATGGTGGTGAGTCTCCCCAATCACCTGATGGACAGAACTCCTTGCTTTTAGGGTCCTTTTGGAGGCTGGCACTGACATCAATGCCCAAGGAGAAATTGAAGGAACTGCACTTCGTTTGGCTGCGCCGCTGGGCAATGCTACCATAGTTGAGCTTCTGGTTGTGGTAAGACACAGATCAGGCCAAATTTTGATGCAGCATTAGTCAGGAATGATCGCAACTACAGTGCAAGAGCACTGGAACGGCCTTGCAGTTGCCTGACAAGATTGTTATGCAAGGACTGTGATATGCTGGCGCTTAGATTATCCACAGCCTGCTGCGCTTCACTTGTGCTCTTTGACAGTGTAGCACCTGTCAAACAATCCCATTGCCATCTGGAAAGTTGGAGTTGGAACCCCAGAGCTGTCAACACCTTTGGCTCTTTTGATTGCTCTTGTCGCTGCTTGCAACTCATTTACTGCCCACTGCTATCAGTGTTGCGCCTGCATGGAGCAGAGCATCGAACCAGGGGTCCAATGGCCGACAGGGGCTTCCCTCTTTCAACCTTGCTGCATGTGCTCTGTAGTTTCGTTTCCCTTTTTCTTTGCGTTGCTTGCTTCTTTCTTTTCTGCATTTTGCTGCTTTGATTCTTATTCTGTTCTGGCCACAGGAGGGTGCGGACACTGAGATTCCAGATGAGGATGGAATCACACCTCTGTATGCTGCTGTAGATGCGGAGGAGCTCTCTGTTGTGAAAGTCTTAGTGGAGGCAGGTGCTGATGTGAATACTGATGCTGCACGTGACGAATCCACACCCCTCATGCAGTCGGGCCGGCTGCAGACCGCTGATGTCATGAAGGAGCTTCTGGATGCAAATGCCACAGTGGATGCCGAGACACGAAATGGCAGGACAGCACTGCACTTTGCGTCCGCATTCGGAACCGCAGAAATGATCAACGTGAGTCAGCAAGCACACACACACAACCCCTCCATTACTTGGGGCAAAGTCAGTACCTGCTGCATGTTGCTGAATATATGCACGATTCCTATGTGCTGTTATGTTGGATTCCGTAAGTATTGAAAAGAGTCCAGGCACGAGCTCCATCCAAACAGAAGGTGTGCGGGCCTTGTGCCAGCTTACAGGAAAGTGCAGGGCGACGAAATTCCCAACAAGTTGATCGTATGGAGTGAATGCACAATCTCAAACAGGAGATATTTGCATTCCAGGAGTCCCTGACTGATCAGAAACAAAGTGATATTGGTTCCTTTCCTCTAACTTTTTGAATCGAAATGTGACCTGTGCTCACACCTCAACTGTGACAAGTCCCATACAACCCACTCAGAATCCGTCTTACCAAACCCGTACACGTGTTGTGCAGCCCATGATACTGTCCTTCGGATGACTAAGTGCAGGTGAAAGTTTGGCCACTTTGCTTCATTGTGGAAAGTTGCATTGTGTTGTTTGTTGATGTCCACATGTTCCACAATTCAATTCACAATGGGATTGTTTACCCCTCAGTTGCTGTTGGATGCGGGAGCAGACATCGAGGCAACTGTGGTCAATCGTGGCTACACTGCCGTCTCGTATGCCGCTGGATTTGGAAATCTGGAGACTTTCGATGTGCTGGTTGCAAGGGGTGCCGACCTCAAGGTGATGACCTTACAAGGCCTTGGTGTGCTACACCTTGCTGCCCTTGAGCCAAGCAACACCCCTATAATGGAGGTGCTCCTCGACAAGGGGATGGACATCAATGCCACAACCGAAGAAGGACAGACAGCCATAGACTTGTCTGCTTGGATTGGAGACAAGCCCAACATCGAGTTTCTGTTGTCCAAGGTGAGTTGGTTCAATTCCATGACACCGTACTTCCGGCTTCCCAATTGATGCCAGCCAATTGTGGGATTCAAGCAAGGTGCACCTCACAAGCACATCACCATGCCCCAAGACTGTGTGCATCGATGGAAGTGATATTCTTCGGAAATGATATTCACCGCTTGTGGATGTGATCGTAGTCGTGTTTCAGAGCAAACGAATTGCAATCCTGTGGGTAATGCAGCTCAGTTTGGCATGTGTGGAATCTATGTAGCTCCTGTTTCGAAGTGACACTGTCCAGTGTGTCGAGTCTGTGGCGCAAATGATGCCAAGGATTTCGTTGAAAATTTGGAGAAGGCACATTTGTGGGCCCAAGCCACTGGCTGTGCTTATGACAAGAATTGTGACAATTGATGTGCACTTTTTGCTGCTCTTTTGGCTATATGCTGCAACTTTGCAAAGCAAACCAGGCACGAGCAGGAGCTGAGTGCAAAAAGAATCAAGATAAAGGGCAACCATGAAAGCATTGATTGATTTTGATTATTCATATGTTACATATAGTACTTGTAGTATTCATGTTGCGAGAATAAGGACACAGAGAGCCAACTAAATACAAAATTCGCCTCTTGGAGCATGTTTCCACAATTTGGCAAAGATATCTGTCACGCAATGTTTGATATAGTGCGCAAGGCAGGCTTAATATTGTTTGGGCCACCTGCAGGGGATGCAGGGCAGTGTGCGCATCTACTGTCCACTATCCCAGCTGATCACCTAAGCGCTTACTTGCAGAAGAGTAGCATGACACTGTGATAGCTGCGATGTGTGTAGGCACTGTCATGTTGGCACAGGGGCTGCGGATCGATGATAACAGACATCAGGAGCACTTCCCCAATATCCACAGTTGGAAATATAGTCCATGTCCATAGCTGCGTTGACCTTGCCACAATCTTTGCAAAGTTAATTTTTGGATTTGATGCTCTGGCTGCATGTACAGATTACACTAAACATTTTAATTAAATAGACTTGTTGCATGGATCCATCACATTGTTATTAGATTGAAGAGGAGCACAACAGGCAACTTGTGTCTGGGGGAGTGTTCCTGCAGCAATTTTTGGGGCTAATTCCCGCAGTGCAGTGCTTTCATTAAAAACATTCCAGCCCAAGGTTTGTGGAGTGCAGTATTTTGTCTGAACAATGATGAAAATTCATTGTTGGTGTGCTTGCAGTCCAGCTATTGCATTTGCCAAGACAGGATCCAAAGCTGCCCTTGCGGATACATGTGCACAAAATATATTCATGAACGTCCATCTGCATATCCATGCACATACATACTGCTACACGGTAATGCCAGCCTCGATTCCAAATTGTTCATTACAAAGATAACGAGCCAGTAGTTGTACTTTGCGCCCAGTGTCGACTGCTCCACATCACTGTCGATCAAACTCACAGTCTGTCAGGCTCCCGGATACAAATTAAAGCAAATGCAAAAGCAGAGATGGGCGTCATGCCATCCACACTGGTCACCTCAGCTCTACAATAGCAAATGCAAGTGGTCTTTAAGTCGTCAAGTGTTTTTTCATGCAGACCCAGCTGGCATCCCGCAGGGTGCATCAACGAAGTGTGCTGCTGTGCAGGGTGCTAATCCGTCTCTCAATGGAATTCCTGTGTGTGGCTGCCTGGACACAAACCAAGGATCGGTGTGTCCACCTGAAAACTGCCAGTCAAAGGAAGACATAGACGAGATCCATGATCTTCTGGGCATTGAGGATGGGATCGAGGTGGGGACTGAACACAGTGAGCAGTGTACGAACAGTTGATAGTGCTGATCCCCAAGCCACCACGACCATGACTTGCTGTCTTTTGCAGTCTGTGTACTTGTGCATGACATCTATTGTCATGAAAGAGTGGGCATTGGCTGATCTGCAGGGACGGGACAGTGTTGAGCTTTATGGCAGGAAGATGATGCACCAAAAGTATTGTTTTGCAGGCCTGCACTTATATGTACTGGCAGCATTCAGGATGTGTTTGCTTGTAGTCCTTTTGATGCAGCATTCTTGTGCCATCAAGGAGGACTTTCTTGTGAGGGAACAGGTGTGTTTCATTCTTGGAATATGTCCTGGTTTCAATTCAGCATATGGCAAAGCATTGGGATGTTGGCTTTGGTTGAATTCCAACGATCTTGTTACTGTCAGCAAACGTTGCAATGGGTGGCTGTGTTCAATTGAGGACTAGACAGCAGCTTCATTGTTTTGGGCCGTTTGAGCAGATGTGTTCGAGCACAAACAAGGCGCTGTTGCGTATGTCCCGCGTGTTGGCAGCTGCCCTCACATCTGTTCCCCATGTGGAGGAAACTGTTCCTCTCCCACACTTGCGAAATCGCTCAGGCTTTTGCCAGCAACAGCAACATTAAGCCGCTCATCTGCAGAAGTGCAGTGCTTTGCACTAGTTTTACACATGCCCAGTGTGCAAGATTGGCAAGCTTGTCCCATTCCCATGTTTGCCACCCTCGCAGACACATGCTAGCAAACAGCAGCAGTGACAGAGGGGTCGATCACCGCATTCTCCATAGATTTTGGTCGCAGGTCATTGCTTATCTTCCAAGCGCTATCCACTGTGAGAGTAGCCCACAATGTGTGCATGGACATGACTGTGCATTTTGATCCCTTGCCATGCTGCTGCCCATGTACTTCACTCAACTGCATGTTTCTCTGTCAAGCCATGACGGCCTGTTGGCACGGCTGCGGTTCCATGTGAGGTTACACATCAGCCTTTGTTCATGCAGCACCTTATAGATGCAGTGGCCGCTGGTGACGAGGAGGCTGTCGTGAGGCTCATCAACGATGGTGCCAATGTAGAACAAACAGCTGCTGGTGGGGAGACCCCCCTCATACTGGCCTCAACAAGGGGTCTTGAGGAGATCGTCACCATACTGCTAGATGCAGGAGCAGATGTCAACGCGACAGACAACATCGGACTGACACCCTTGTGGGTGGCATCATTCTTCAACCATCCCGCTGTTGTTAAATTGCTAATTGAGGCGGATGCCGACATTGAGGCAATGGCAAATGGCGGTACCTCCCTGCATGTCGCCGCCACTGCTGGCGGTGCAGAGGTCATTGAGCTGCTCATCGGGGCCGGTGCAGACCCCGATGTCAGAACTCCCCGGTCGCAGAGTACACCCATAATGTTTGCTGCTGAAGGCAATCACCTGGAAGCGGTGCGGGCCCTGATCGACGCGGGGGCCAATGTCACGATTCCGACTGCAGAAGGCCTGACCGCATTGCACATGGCTGCCACTGCATCGGGCTCGGAGAAGATCATGAACATCCTCCTTGGCGAGGTGTGTTGTGCATCGGTGTTGGGAGGGCATCCAATCTGTGCTGTGGTCTTTGGATGACAACACTATCTCTTTTACAGTTAGTGCACCCCAAAACTCAGAGCATTTGTACTAGTAAGGGTGCCGCTTGAGCAAAATGCTGCAGTGCTAGTGTGTCAGCTGTTTGAAGTTGGCCAACATCTTTTCATGCCCGTCAGTCATGCCATCAGTGAGTTTCTAAGGATCTCGTGCTTTTTTTCATAACGAATTGTTCCCTTGCATCTCTTTACTGCACCTGTTGCCAAATTCCTTTTTGCTGCGAAGAGTTTGTCCACACGTCCTGTGACAATTCCGCGTAAACGAATCTGCAGCGCAGCAGCTGAACCAAGCAGCACCTAAGTCACTGCACCAATTGTATGCCTATCCCCGAAGACTGATGACAAATGCACAGCCGGCCTTTGGACCGATGCAACTGTATAGGTTCCAGGCCTTCAACCTGTCCCGCTAAGGAGTGTTGCTGCTCTTGTGCGAACCCATTCCATGCTTGCCATAAATGAAAATGAGGCCATTCGTGATCCCCGTGTACCAAAGGATTTGCAACTCTTGACCATGCCAGAACGAGTGCATGAAAGTCACAAGAGCCACTTAGAGCAGCAAGCAACTAGCAAAGTATCCAGACTGGTCACTCCAGAATGGCATCCCTTGCCACAAAATGTCATTGACTTCTGCGGAATTTTGTGAAAAAATTGCAACAATTCGTCGACCTGCGGATCATGTGGCGCCATGCTCATTTTCATTGAACCAGCAACTAAAAGAAAATGGAAGTCGTCAGTTCACAGGCAGCTCTACTGTTGGGGTTGGGATGGAGACTGTTAGTGCGCCAGTACAGGGGCTTTGGGAATGTAGCCAGGGTTTGCATTACCATGCAGGTCCAAGGTCAGTTTGTGTATATGTATTGTTGCATTGCGGACTGCCCTGGTACAACATGGTCAATACACACTGAATAGAACGATATGCTGATCCGGTTTCACACCCAAAAGTGTACAATTTGGAGCTCGATTGTTTTTTTCCGGGCTGCAAATGTACAAGAACGGGTTGTGGAATCCCCCAAAGGCGCTGCCACAGAATGTCCCTATTCGCCTCGGCGGCACGAGCTCATAGCATGCGCACGGGCGCCCGTTTGCGACTGCAGGGAATCGACGTCAACGCGAGGGCCCTTGAAGACACCACGCCGGTCATCATCGCAGCCTACTATGGCAACAGGGGTGCCGTCCTGTTCCTGATCTCCAAGGGGGCGGACACTCAGATCAGCACCGGCGGGCTCTTCGACGTGGTCTGCGGCTGCGTGGCGCACATCTTCGACCCGAGGCTCCGGCAGTGCTCGGCGGGCGCATGCCAGACCCAGGACGACATCGACGAGATCGAGGCCCTGCTGGGCGGCGATGCCTGGAGGTCACCCATCCCGAAACCCGCAACCGCCGCCATCCCGGCCCTGAAGCTTCACCCCAACGCCCCATTCCGGACGCCGCCGCAGCGCCGCCAAACCCCTGTGAGCCCGTGTGACTGGGCTCTGTGCTCCGATGGGGGTGGGGGAGTGCTGGGTGGCTTGCAGGACGGGCGTCTGGGCGCACTGTGGACGTTTTCAACCACGACGGGCTGACGCCCCTCTGGGGCGGCTCAGTGAAAATTTGGCCAAGCGGCATTCATATAGCGATGGGCAAGGGTCAACGTCGGATCAAGGACCGATACTCTTCGCCTGGACTGAACTCAACAAGGGACATGGCGCGAAGCTGGGCAGGGGGGCCAATATGGAAACGAGAGTGGAACGGATGTGTTCAGAACAAATTGGTGGGTCTCTGCGGGCCGCCGTGTTTGCGGAAAGTCGTTGAGGCGGCTTGAATAAGATCGGCTCTGTGCCGAAAATCTCTTAAAACCATCCCCGTAAGTGCTCTTCTAAGGCCCTTTGATGGTGCAGCTCGGTGAGTAGCGATGTCGCGCGGCTCTCCATGTGCTCGCAGGCGGTACATGATGGTAGGTTCAGAGGGCTTGCGGTCACCTCGTCCACAGGAGTTCCGGTTGTTTGAGTTGCGCCGCTGGAGGATCTGGAGGATCCGTAAATGAGGGTAGTTGGGGATGATCAGCGAAAATGGCTTGCACACTGACGGTGTGCTGGAGCCGCCAACCGCACCTCGCCAGGCAGAATGTCGAGCAAATTTCTAGGGGCCGAAACGGCCCAGTTGTTGGCATAATTTGGTTCAAGCCGCCAATTGAACGCTGCTGAGCAATATTGAGCGAGGCCATAACGACCGTCATGCGCAACAAGACGGCGTTTGCCCGCCGAGTGCGTTTGCGAATTGTTCGCAAAAATAAATTGAACGCGCTTGAATCGAATGTTCTGGGATCTCCAAAATCGGTGCGCCACAAAGGTGGGGAGTCCAGCGGCAGTCCGAACCACCCGATGGCCAACCCTGCCCTACAAATGCTGCTGCTCGCCCAGCAAAATGGAAGGCTTGCCTGCTTGCAAAAAACTGCAACCGAACGCTACCATCGTTCACAAAGAATAGAAAAATCTAAAATTAACAATGTCTAAAGCCCGTGGGGATTGACCCAGCATCCAGATCCCATCTCAATTCCAAACACATAAAATTCGACGTGCTCTCAAGCACACAAAAATCAATGGTTAAGGGGGCATTCCTTCAAAAGCAGCTTCCGAGTGGGGGACTGAGCATTCATTATTGCATTCCTAGCAAAGCGCCTCGAACCCATGACCAGGCTTCGCCCTGGGCCCTTGGCGCAAAACTTGACGGCGCTGCCACCAGGGCCCTTAGTGGAGGCGCCCCGCCCTCTCCAGCGTCTGGAGCGCGTGGCTGAGGCTCATGCTGGTGGAGCGAAGCAGCATTGCCTGAATGAGGTTGAGCATGCGAGGGGCAAGAAGGGCCATCCTTTCGATGGCGTCGTGGTGCAGGCAAAGCAATCTGCGGGGGGACACACACTCGGGATTTCAGTAGAGAATGAGGAGAGCTCAGTTTGAGATGAGGAAGCTCACAATGGAAAGGCCTGGAGACGCAAGCGGCCGACCCGTGTGCACGGGAACGCGGCCGTCAGCAACGTGCGTCCATCAAATGATGGTAACGACGGCTGATCAATATGTGCATCACCACCGCTGGTGTGAGTTGCTGAATTCACGCAGTTTCCATCTGTTTTAAGCCATGCCAGAGTGGTAAGGACAACGCGTATCTGAGGTTAAACTGGCGCTAAGGTCAGCTGCTGCTAAAAAAGGGTCCGAGCTGTGTTGTCTTACGGCGTTTTTGGTGCAATTTCCAACCAGTGTTCCACGCCTGCGAGAAGTGGCCCAGGACCTGGAACTAGGTGTTCAGATTCCCAGCATCCACGTGCCTAAACACTGTGGGGCGGCGTCCAACTGCTCGCCCAGTTAAGTAGCTAATTCCCCCAGTAGTTTCAGCAGTTGGCGCATTCTGATCCACAACCAGAGCATTAGGGACTGGGCGAGGAGCATGCGCTCCCGGGGGCGCAACAAAAGCGTCATGTGTCCAAACGCTGTGGTTCGCTGCTGGAGACCAGCGAAATTTTGTCCAGACCAGCGGGGGTGAGTGGGTTCCACATGTGCCGTCGCAGGACGTGTTCATTTGGCCATTGTCGCAGGGAGCTCAAAGGTTATCATGTCCAAGGGCTCAGCTGAGACCAGAAACAGCGTGTTTCTTTGCGCACCAGGTGCGCGAGAGTGGACAGGGGTTCTGCTACAGTCCCTTGCATGGAACTCCACTCGTGTTATTTCCTTCTAAACAACAGCTGACTCTGCATGAACCACAAACGATCGTATTCGCGCACAATGAACGCGACACAAGTCCGTTAACGGGGCCCCATTCTCGTGCTGAATCAAGTGCAACAGGCAGTGCGATTCCTGTCAAGAAAACGATGACTTAACAACACCACACCTGCAGTCCTCCACACAAAAGGCGTAGCACGAGCGCGGGCGCCGAAGGAGAAAATCCATCTCGCCAACGACACCGCCTGGGCCCACGCCCAGAACCCTCAACTGCGTTGGCAATGACATTTTCTCAGGCACATGCGTGTCGGCCAGGCACGGGTGGTGGATTCTCATCAAGTCAATCTCGACAGCAATCTTTCCTTTCTCGACGATGCACAGCTCCAAAGCCTTGCCCCCGATGCTGAACAGACGCTCCCCTGCCTTCAGCTCCTTCACTGTCAGAAAACTCTGCAGCGCAGTGGCGGCGCTCTTGAAGTCCATGTCGTCAGGTGTGTAGCCCTAGAGTCAATGCATCGACAGGTACTGAGTGCCCCCAAGCCTTGCAAACAGCTGCCAACAATCCCATGGGCGGCAAACAGGTCTGCGCTCAGCTGAGGTTCCAAAAGCATTCAATCACCCAAAACAGTGCAACGAATTCAAAAAACGCAGCTTTGAACTACTATGCTCTGCACATTCAAACCACTACAATGCAGCTGTACTGCAAGCAGTCGCCGGTTATAACAAGGAAGGGTGTGTCAAAGTGCGCTGGATTGATCAATCAATGATTGTATGCACTTGGTGCACCAGTGCTTGGCAGTTGCAGCAAATTCTAACCACAGATTCAGGACGCAGGGCCCTCCTAAGGTAGCGAAAATTACCCAAATCTACCAGCGCGTTGTGTCAATGCCATTCAGCAGAACGCAGCAGAGACATCTACTGGAGGGCAATCATTTGCTTGTCAAAGGTGAAGGTATTCATCAAATATGCAAAACGTTTTTCAATTTGGACCGCGTGTGCGAGAAACATGCGCTACGCATGACGTGCGGACAGAAGGAGCCCACAATCTGTCTGACTTTGGCACGGGAGTCGCAGACAGCAGTGCAGCAACAGCTTGCGAGTAGGAAGGTACCCAAAAGTCACCACCAACGAATTGGAATGCATTGTTCCAAAGCTGCATTCCCAACAATTCCCAACAGATTGAAACGGTTTTTGGCAGCTTAATGTCCACTTCTTGCTTTGAAGCCAAGCAAACTCCAGAGAAGGAAACCTGCGCTTTGTGCGCACGGTGGCAAGATCCACTGCGGAGAGAGCTGACAAGCACTCTCCCCGCGCACCGTGAACAAGCACCACATTGCAGCAGGAGGGGAAGAACAGGAATACCTTTGGGAGAGACAGGCTTGACTTCAGGATTTCTGAAAGCTGCATTGAGGAAGCCGGGGGCGGTATCAAGTCAAAGCTGACGGCGATGTCCAGGAAATGCTCCTCGCAGTAGGATAGGCCCTCTTGCAGACTGTCAAAGGACTTGATGGCGTAAGACTCGCTAAGGCGGTTGCCATCATGCAGGGCTTCCTCCGCAGAGCATGAGTCATCTATCACACCGTGCGCAACAAGCAGGCGACGGATACCTGACCTGTTGGCGAATGTCAATTTCAATGCATTCAGTGCGCCACACTGTACACTGTTATCTGCCTCAGCATGGACGTTTTGTTGTCGTTTTAAAGAGTCAAGATTTCCCTGAGGAAATGTGTCGCTTTGTTATGCTGTAAACACATGCCAGTGCAAGCTACCATTTAGCCACAAGAAGGATGAAGTCTTGACGTCTCATTAATCCATAGTGATTGTACAGTATCTGGATGAAGCCCAGTCAACAGTGGTTGTGCACGGCAATTACACACCCATTTGCTGCACGATCAACAGGAAGGCAGGTTTTGCCGCCCAACATGGCACACTGTGGCGGACAGACATTATGAGTGGCGACTGGTACTGCAAAGCTTGCTGCGACTCTCCATTCAAGGAAGAGGTGTGCTACCAAGGGTAGTATGCATGAACACGTTCCTGTGTAAACCAGCACAGCTTCAAGTTACAGGAGGTCACTGGCAGTGACTCATTGCCCTTGCAGCTGCCGGGCGATATTGGGAGCTATTCACACCTGCAGAATTTTGCCCAAACTGCATTGATGTCCTGCATCACTCAACCATATCTTCCTTTCTTGAAGATATTTATAAACTAATGCTTAACACCAAACGTCAGGTTGCCATAACATCATGCCAGTCACAGCATCGGTCATGCACATCAAAAAGCCGGCCATCCTCTCATGGCGTGTTTTGCTAAATTCCCCAAGCGCTGCTGTCGGTAATTGTAAAAGACAGGCCGAACGTACGAAATGCAGGCCAAGTGTCTTGCACCGTAGGCTAACTGAATGGTTTTCCACCTCTCGCAAGCAATCAACTCCCAACATGGCATGCTTCCCTTTCCAACGTCTAGTTCTGGTACTGCTGAAAAGTCAGAAGACGATGTGCAAACCCACAGCACTGTATTTGGGGTGGGCTCCAAGCATTTGAAAATGATAGGAAATTTGCAAATTTCCAATGCTGAAACAAAGCCGCCCATCAGGGTTCCTGTGCAGGCCTTCAGGGACGTCCAACCCCTGTACCGAATATTACTAAATCCCTTCGCACAGTAACGGAACGCTTGGCCTCTTTGAAGAGAAAAATCAACACAATTTTGCGGAGCAACGCAGAAAAGCAAGTAGCGCTCTGAAACAAAACAAGCAGAGAAAAAAGCGTAACAGTCAAATTTTTTGATGCAGAATGGTTGAATAGTATACGGTGCGTCCAGCAGATAGGGTGCAGTACACATTTTCAGGGCAACCACTGGCTCAAGTGCCCTTCTATGCCTTGTCAAGGCAATGAGGGATCTGGCCATGGGCCACTACACGTGAACGAAGAAAGGGCACAACCAATGTGGGAATGCCTGTGAGCATACACATCAACTGTTGTTGCCCAGGACATGCAGGGGCATCAAGGGGTTGTCTTCGCAAGAATATATTCATTGCAGATTCATGCCAGTGAAGCAGAAGCGAGAAAGCCAAACAGCGCACCTTGACCTTGGCAGATGGGTGATGATTGGCTCGACGCCCATCATCCGCAGCCTCTTGCACAGGGTTGAGAAAGATCCTGCTGCTGTGGCATCGATGCCATGCACCCTCTGGAAGTCCAGCAGCAAATATTTTGGAGCAGAGTTCACTGCAGCCTCAATGCGGGATGCCCTCCTGGAGCCAAGCCCGGGCATTCCTTTCTCGATGGACTTGGCTGGGCACAGGCTGGGGCCAGTGCCCGAGGCTAAAGTGGCACCACCTGACTCAGGCCCATTCACCATTCCTTGAACGAGACCTTGCACCTTCTTGCTGATCTTCACCGAGCTGCCAAAGAAGATGTAGCCACTCAAGGACACAGCCATGATGTTCCCTGAACAGCACAGACGTTCCATTTGCACGCTCCAAGAATGTTCCTGTAGTCTTTCCAGGGACATGCACAACGGTGTCAGACCCCATTGTAGTGGTAAGCTCTCTGTTTCTCTATTTCTCTGTAATGGTGTCTTTTCTTGCCAATCTCATGCGCTATGTTCCAGAGTTTTCTTTTTTCTCACTGTCTCATTTTCAAACACAGCCTGAACCTTCATCACAATGCCATGGCTCGTTTATGTACGGCTTATATATATGTGGCTCTACTTGAGTTGTGCATCTTTGGCAGTGCTTCAGACCTACTGGAAAATGCATTCAACACTTGCAGCAACACTATATCCATAAACTCCTATCAGAGAGGGTGTTGTCCAGGACAAGAGTCCCTTTCTTGTACAAGAGACGGTCTTTGGCTCACCTGAGAACACCTCCAGTATGGACCTCTGCGCAAAGGGGCGCAAATAGCAGCCCCGGCTTGGGAGGACGCTGTATGCCATGATGTTGACTTTAGCATAGGAGACCGTAAAATGCAGCAGGGAGACAATGACACCGAGGATGAGGCCCTTTCCCAGCCCAAGGGCCACAACACCAATGAATGTGAGCCACAGCATGCCGTACTCCAGGAGGGTCACCTTCCCGTACGACATCACCATCCAGTCCTGCACACCAGGCTTCCAATAATGGATCTGTGCTGCTCTGAGTTACGGACACTTTCAGAACTTGGAACACACAAGAGCGGGAAAACGTGCAGTTGTGGAGGGAAAAGGTGTCGGTCAGCATTTTGTGGTCACCAGCACTGTGCATTGTCCTGCAGACAATCGTTATCTCAACAACATAAGTTCATTCTATGAGGGTAAATTTGGAGAGAAGCAGAAAGCCCAAACCAGATCGAAAAGGATGATCTTGCGCACAACATTTGATATTGGATGCTTTTCCCGCAACCAGCATGGTGATGTTCTGCATGCCATTCCAATGTACTCACAAGCAACATCTGGCCCATGCACAAGAAGCTCAGGAACATTTCTGGAGCAATGATTTGGTAAATCAGCCAAGCCTGATTCATTGCATTCCAAGCTCACTTTCATCATAATAAACAGAAGTGTCGAAGAGATTCCCAGCAGCACAAGTCAGTGGGGTTCATTTCCATCTCTTGTCTTACCATAGCTGGTAGACATATGCCTGTAGAGGGGAATGAACATCCACGTTTGAACATGAAGGCAAAACATCGCAAGATAACAACACATTACCTTGGATTGCAAATACATTGGCCAAACACTGGCACAACATTGCCAGGAGTGCTGGTCTGCTAAAGACACAACGTAAGAAAGTGGATCAAAAGAACACAGGCAGGCACTGAACAGGGCAACTAGGGATGGATAGGCGGCGCACCAGCAGGATGTCGACTCCAATCCACATGGTCAATGCTCCAAAGAAAAAGTTGGGAAGATAGTTGACAGGGGAGAAGGGCAGCGCAAAAAGGCTGAACTCCACCAGAGCCACCACGATGCCATTTATTCTCGAATCCACCCCCGACCGCATGCTGAAGATCGTCTGAGAGAATATGAGAGAGCCCGTGTAGCCGGCGCCAGCTGCTCCACTGAGGATGTTACCAATCCCAACATTCACCAACTCACGATTGTAATCGAGCTCCCCTTCGAACTCTTGCTGGACTGCGGCGATGTCCATGGACGAGCCAAATGCCACCATCACGCACAGGACCAACATGGTGGGAATCTGCTTGAAGATGAGGCCACGTGCGCTATAAAGGCCTGCATCGCACCGGTCTCCATTCAGGCAATCACTTGTGGAATAATCATAATATAGAACTCCAATGAATATTCGACATTCTCGGTATTTGGCAGTGAACCTTGACATGGAGTTCTGGCATCTGCAGCCACCCTGCATCGCCCAACAGGTGCAAGGGCAGCAATCTGTCAATCGCTGATGAATGTCCCGAAGGTGGACTGTTGCAAAGCCAATCGGCACCATCGCTGCTCCAACGCAACACTGCTGGATGCAGAGACAGCAACAGAACACCACATGTGTGAGTGTGCACTGCACGTCAGCTTGTAAATTAGTTGTTTTCACTTTGTTAGGTAGGATGCCCACACACTCATGGAGACGGCTGCATCATCTTGATCTGCATCGTCAAGTGTGGAAAGACGCCTCGAGCAAATGCAACTGATCAGTAAGGAGCTGCCCCTTGCGACTTGTTCCCTTTTGTTGCAAGGACAATGCACAGAATATCTCTTTGGGCTGGGCCACCATACAAGTACAGTAGGGGATCTGATGAAGCGACCTCAGCAACAGCAACTGGACACACATTTGGACAGCTTGTCACCATTTCACAGCTATATATTGTGCTATTATTCGCAGCAAATCATAGTGCAAGTAAGCTGCAGCGATCTGCAAGCAGCGAGTGTTTACCTCCCAAGTCGAACAGATTCCATATCCTCCAGAATCGAGGGTCATTACTGTTCGATGTTGCATTGGCCACCCAGCCAGCTGCCTTGGCGTCCTCCAGGGTGAAGCCACAGCCCATCATCACGGCGAAAAAGCACAAAGGGATGGCAAACAGGGTGACCGGAAGCGCTGCCGGATGCGGCACTTTCACTAACACGATGTACAGGATGGCGGCACACAAAACCCCTGCAGTCAGTTTCACCAGCGAGCTGTTCCACCCATCATTGACGGAAAAGAGTTCCATGTACGATTCCCATGATGACCTCTCAACGTCTGGAGCAATAGACAGCCCAATTAATCAGCGATTGATTGCAACCGATGGATCAATAGATACCAAAAGCCAGAGCCATTTTATGTATTGTCTGTAATTGTCTGTAAACAACTGGTTGCCCATTGGCGTCACATGGATGTCAAACAAAGTCTGTGTACTATGGCATCAGATCCATGCATGGATCTATCACCACCTCAAGTCATCAGAATGTTTTACCCATCTTCTGGGTTCGTTCTTTGCAGCTTCTTATTTTTTGGGTGCAAACTGTTGAGGAACCAGCAACACATTGGAGACACTGCATTGTGCGCCTTTGTCTGTGTTTTCGAAAAGTATCGGCTGGAAGTTCACAAAGCATGCATCAGCATCTATACAGTCAGGAAACCGCCCAGCCTATCCTTCAGACTGCTGCAATCTTTGGTGTTTACAGTGATAGCATTCTGGACGATCTGTGTGCAGCAATATGCGCTGCTTGCCAGACAGGTGCAAGGGTAGTGGTTTTGCACCATTGAATAGATTTGATCACAGGACTTATACACTGATGCAAGCCCAGGTAAGGTTGATAGGCAACTGGCCACAAGACCAATATGTGTTGGCAGGCATGCAACTGGCCACTGAGATTGCCAAATACACAATGTATGCAGTCAGAGCGTACTCGCACAGAAGACATCTTTTTCTCCAGAACACTTCAGGCAAGGTTGGAATGCCGTTAAACATCAACATCGTCACCTGCTGACAGGAAGGCGCCTGCCATAATACAGAAGAATCCAACATATCCCAAGTAGCCTCCCACGACAGGTATTGGCACATACTGCACCAGCACTGCAAGCTTCAAACAGCCTGCACATGCCACACATCGATGAGGTAGCCCCACAACAGTGAAAGTGATCAAGGGTGCTGTACAATCCATGTACAACAGCAGCTCAGAAATTAGAGAGTTGCCAGGATCATTGACAGCCAAGCGAACACTTGTCACACCCAATCTCCACACATTCACAGCGTGCACCTCTCCCTTCTTTTCTGACTTTTCCTGTGGCCTTGAGTATGCATTGCGGGCCCCCTGTGGGGACCAGACTCTAGGTTATCTATACGGACATTCAGTGAAACGGAGCCAAAGCACACCACCCCAGTATTGAAGAACCTTGCAGTGTGATGAAGAACAGCAGGGCAGGAATGAATCACTGTGATGGGCTACAAGTGTTGTTCTGCCAGGGCCCTTGTGATGCTGAAATTCTCCATTTTTAGATTGTACATATCCATTTCATATGATCCATTCTTGGGATCATACCACCTCGCACTTTCTCATCAGGTGGCACACGGCACGCAACAGTGATGGACAAGTACAGTGCCTGGGCTGTTCGATGCAATGCAAAACAGTAGATATAAAGAACATTCCAGCACAATTATTGGCCTGCAGTCAGTCGCGCAAGGCCAGTGGTAACTCACCAGTTGCCGTGACCAACAGGCCCACAATGAATGTGCTGACCGACAGTGTCACAAGCGTGGCTCCAACTGCTTCCTGAGGTGTCAGCTTCATCTTCATCCCAGCACTCATAATGGACGAGGCCATGGTGGACATGAATATAAGGCCGACATCTTGAACCTGCCCAATGGCAGCAGGCAACGAGCTCCGGAAAACCATGACCACTTGGTCAAGGGCGCTTGCCAGAAACACTTGCTTCACAAGCAGATCCATAAAGGGCTTGAAATGTGGGTCCTGGCCAATTTTCCAAAGAGAACTCCTCATCAAATCACCACAAACGTCACCAAAACTTTTCCAATGCCAAGTGAAAGGAGCAACCTGGTACTGCCCTGCTGCAGCAGCAGCTATACAATACTGACAAAGCAAAAAATTGGTTGCATGCTGAAATGCATGTGGCCAATATGCCTTTCTCCGCAGCACCAGATGTAACTAGGCCAATGGATGCATACAATATACAGCATTCCTTTATTAGATGACATTGTCCAGGAACATTTCAGAAAGTTCCACAGGAAAACAATATTGGTCAATAAGTGTGACACAGCATTGGTGCAGCAGAGTATGCGCTTACACAAGCAATGCAGTTAACGCGTCATGCCATGGGGTTTTATCCTGTACCTCAAAAACGACAGCTCCATATGACACCATCGTTGGTGCTGCAACAATGGCATTGATGAATCCATAGATTATGGCCTTCATTACGGAATCAAATCGAATGTGGCCTCCTGACTTCCGTATTGACGGCTTGCTGCTGGTGGGCAAGAGTGGCATCGTCAATTTTCCTGCCTCCAAATCTGTGAAGGCCAAAATCGAGAGTCAGGGTCAGATGTACAGTCAAGAATCAACAGAAAACCAAGGAGACAAAGAAAAGATGCAGGTTTTACAATATGCTGGACTGAACAGAAGAGTTGTCAACAACTAAAACTGCATAAATGGTCATGAATTGTACTGTCATAACACTGATATCTGCATATCTGAGTTGTTTAAACAACATCGATATTCAAAGGAAACACGGCCAGCATACAAATTCGCACGTTCAGAGCATACCATCTGCTGGTTGCTCTTCAAGAGGCCCGCTTTCTGCTTGCAACCGTTTTTCATATTCCAGCTGCTTGTGTAGATTGCTGGTGGCAATGGTTGGCGACCTCAAAGACCCCAGGGACGCCCCAGAGGGCACGCTCGCTGGCCAGCCGAACTGCAGGAGTCCACGCTGCTCCCGGGGTGTCTGGTGTGACCCTTGGCCACCCTCTGGGGGATATCCCTGCATGCAGCACAACAAAAAGCCATCTTCTTCTTACGACTTTCTTTCTGTGCCTTAGAGTTTCCCATACACCATCACACCACAATAATTGCGTGGCAACAAAGATTCGCATCTTTGGAAAAGAGTCTGCCATAGCTTGAAGCTGAAAGGGCACTGTGCTCTTGCCAGGTTTGACAAGTCTATCTAACATGCAAACCGAATACCCTTGCACACGCTGACGCACAGTCGCTTCCTGGCACGGGAAGCAAGGCGACAACCAGATGCATGACAGGATGAGCATAGCAGTCAAATAGCACACACAGCAACATGTTCATTTCTGTCGCCATTGTCCCTGTGTACATTTTCTCCATACAACACCATATGTCACCTTATCACTCAATCACTCCTACATCATCCTCACACTATCCAAAGCAGATTATTACAGGGCTGCATTCACAATCAGCACTGTTTGCCAGAACACAGTCAACTGCCTGCCAGCAGTGGTGTTAGACACTGATATTTTCAAGTAAAATCCAATTGCCAATGTTTTTCATCTCTGAGGAGCCTGACGCACATTCACGTTGTTAGTTGCCATCGACATGGCAAGCAGTCTGGCAAACCCAGCAAAGTATGGCACATGGCCATGCACTGACAAGCAAAATCCAAGGAAATCCGAACAGTCTGATGCCCCATTGGCAAATGCGCAGCACAGCAATTTGGAAGGACTACAGTGGCATTATGAACTCCAACTGCAACTCCCATCTCTCCAGTACTTCAGCAAACAATAAGAACACTAACAATAAAATGGTACGTAAAAATAACAATAATAGAGCACCACTTCACGATCAATACAATGACAAAACAGGTGGTGCACTTGCTCATTTTGATTTCGTGTGCAAATGTGAAGTAAATCCTGGATACCGACTCGAACCAATAGCTTCCAATATATGTGCACTGCATCTGTAGGGACTTCAGTCATATGCCTTCCAAAATGCCTTTGACAAGACAAAGTGGTGCCCATGCACCTAGTAGGCGAATCTGAAGGGAATTCAGAAGTGGCGAGACTGCTGGTGTTGACATTCCCTCTCACTGGCAAGTCAGAGACAAATGCACGGCTCCCAACCAGCCTGGGACCCTGGACCCATTCTAAATGTCAACCATGTTTTGATCAACTGGTTGCAAGCTTGTGCAGACCCTGAACGCACAGTGACCTGCAGTCCTGACCCCTGCCATACTACAATTGTTACTAAGCCACACAGCCCCTTGGGGCCAGACAGGGCTCTGGCTCTGGCAAAGGAACTGCAATTGACAATCAGGGTAATATGGGTGAGCTGAGCATGTCATTTTTCAAAGAAGTGTTCCCTTGGAAGAAATTAATGACGAGAAAAGAAAGAACTGCCCCGAACAGAGAAAGCCTTGGGAAGCTTCAACATCCTCACACATTCTACATCGACGACACCTCGACAAAGGTCGGGTCGTGTGCTGGACGAACTTGCAGGAAGACGTTTGGAACGTGGACTCAAAGGCGTTGCTGCACGGAGAGGGCCGGTGGGAACCGTCACGAGCAACGCTAATAAAATGGCTTACGTATCTTGGAGGACGTGTATCGGTTTTGACTTTGGCAAATCGCAGCGGCCAACAAGCGCCAACATGTGCGTTGTGAGCACATCACCCACACGCAGTCTGGCCAACTCGGCTCACATCCAATTACTTCCGCGCCCTTTTGCCGAAGCCCAGTCTCCTAGCAGCTAGTGTACCCCAAACCTCGGGACTACCCACCAAAAACGATCACACCTCCCCCCAGTCCCCTGCCCCAGCCTCCGTTGCCAAAGTACAGCGTCAGCCAGATATGTGGCCTTTCCCGTCCCATCCCTTCCACATGTACCTGGCCAACCGCCTGATGGTGCTTCGCCCATTGCCAGGCGATCCCCTGCGCACCCGCCGCATCGCCGCCCGCAAACCGACAGCGCGGCAGGCTGAGCGCACGTGCGTCCCGAAATGCGCGAGACTGCCGGATGTCGTTCCAGCGCTCCTCCGCGACGCGGCATTCCCTCCAAGAGCGACACCCGGCGACGACGCGCCCCAACGCACCCCCACCCGTCCCCCGTCCACGGCGGCCCCCGCCCACTGCTGACCCGCCGCCGCCTCCCCACCCGTCCAATCCGCGCCCCCCAGTCCATCGGATCATCGCCCGAGGCCTGCGCCTATCACCCATCCAACGCTTCCTGGCAATCTCCTTTCGTCGCGACGCGACGTCAAGGAATCCGCGAGGAGGGATCCAAATCCCCCTCGCCTAGCCGCACCTCGCGGTATTCCAGCGATTCCAGAGACGGCCGCGCGGCGCTGCCCTCCCCCTCCTCCCTCAGCGGCGATCGCACGCCGGCGCTGGCCGGCGTGATCGCGCCGTCGTGCCACCTGCCGGGAGATGCGCGGTGTCCCGTGGGGGTGGCGTGGCTGTCGCCGCTGGCGAATCGGCCCAGGCTGCCGGCGGGCGAGGCGGATAGGCCGTAGTCCGATCCCGAGATGAGGCCGCCGAGCTGCATGCGGCGGGGGAAGCTGGGCAGCCGGGAGAGGCTGCGGCCGTCCGTCGACATGGGGCGGGCGCTGGCGGCGGCTGGCAGCGCGGCAGGATCGTGGGCTTCTTTTGGGGTGTGTTGGACTCGAGGTGGAGCCAGAGCGGACGAGGCACCCACGCGAGGGAGGGGGAGCCCTTCCACTTGCGGTTGACGGTGATACGGCCTTAATTGAGTCAATGACATTATTGTATGACCTTGTGTCTGGGTCACCATTTTTTTTCTGCGACAGTTAAATTGTTCTTTTTTGCGACATGTTCTCTTTTGCGACAGTGGCAATAATTGATGCACGAAATGTTGGCATCAGATTTCCCACAACCCAGTGCAGTCCACGGGGCCTTCTCTCACAGCGGCGTTGAAGGCGCGGCTGTTGGGAGAAGGGATCAAAAGGCAAAACGGGGGCGTTTGGGGATGCCCAGGGTCCCCATCTTGTAGAGGGGGGCTGCCGTTGTCTTTCAGCGCTCACTTTGCCACTAAGATTCGGCCGAATTGGCTGAGGTTGGAGCCACCCGTTTCTTCCCAAGCTCTGTTTTTGCAGTGTTAGCCCCCTGAAATACGCGCAATTGGCCATGCAGAGAGGCAGCACCGTCAAGTGGGACCGGGGGTGTTGCTCATGACGCCGGACGGGGAGGCCAAAGCGCTGGTTGCTGGCGCCATTGCCGCCCAAGCATCGGCCATCAAGCTGCCCACGCCCAGCGCCGTAGACTGGTCACACAACCACTTTTTGCTGCTAGGTGGGGGCAAGGCCTGCGAGCCACAAACTGTGGCGGGCTGCCACTGGAGGTATTTCAGCACTTGGCACAATCTAGTGCCATTTTGGCGCCGCTCAGCCCTGTGCGTCACCCAAGCCCTTGACAAGCACAGCGTTGACCCGTGAAGTTCGAGGAAGCGGAACAGCGATCCCTCGGGTGGCGAAAAACAACGACGATGGCTGGTAGCGGCGGGTGGCTGGTAGCGGCGAGTGGCTAGTAGCGACGGGTGGCTGGTAGCGACCGGTGGCAGGTGGTGGGTGGCGGGGACCGGGCAGGCGATTCGGTTCAAAGGACCTGCCACCTTCCCAAGTTGTGCATAGTCATATGCACTATCGCAAAAAAAGAACAATCCACTATCGCAAAAAAGGTTAGTTTGGCATTGTCAAAAAATGGGAAATGAGAAAAGGGGGTCCTCTATGATAATATTGACAAAAGGGGGTCATGTAACGTGGCTCCTTAGGGTTTAGGCTTATTTGACATTTCTGGAGTGGGTATTATATAATCTTAGAAATCGACCTTTTGGGGACGTTATCTAGAGCTTCTTGGTTCCAACGCGCTTTTAAACGCCCAATTCCGTTAAGAATTGACAAAGATATGGCCTCCTGAAGTCGTAGTACTTAGGGCCAGGGGGTCGGGTGTTAGACGCTTGGAATTAGAGGACAATGGGTCGATCGTAGGTGAACGGTGGACGGTGACAATGTGCCTGGACGCGCACTGTGTTTTCTTGTCTTGATGTGACCGCGATGGACCCGCGATCGGGCATCGCGCATGCGATATGTGCGCGCGCATGCAGTGAATCGTTGTAACACTTCTGGCCCACTCTCTGGCCTCCCGCGAGCCAGCGAACCACCGCCTTGCTGCGCCGCCACCACTCGCCGACAGCAGGCCCCGGGGATCGATCCCCGTCGAGCATTGAGCCCACCGCGCGACCGCCTAATCGACTGCCCCGATTACACCCACCATCCGAGGTGGAGAGGCCAGCCGACCTCCAACGGCTGTGCTGCAGGGCAGGGCGACCCCAGAGCCTCCTGAAACCAGCGGCTGCTGACGGGGCCGCAACAGGTCCGCTAACCGTCCCCCATACATGAGCCGCGTTGCGAGACTGGCGCCAGACCGGCGCTAGTCGGCAAGCTGGTCCTGCTAGGGTAGAGGTGGCCCCATATGTCCGTCCCCAACAGAATTTGTTTGGCTCCGTTAAAATTCTGTACAATCAACAGAATTTATGAGGGAGCCGTAGAGAAAAAAAGCGTTTTACAGAAACGGGTAGGGCCATGCTGACATTAGCATAGACAGCTACAGAAATCCACACATCCTTACAGAATGGAACCACGTGTTACAGAATTCGTGCCGCCGTCTACGGATGATAGGCCCCCGCAACAGAGCCGCTGACCGGACCACAAAGGTCGACAGAATTCCATAAAAAATCGATGGCAATCGCTGCCGGGAAGGGCCCACACTTATGATTTATAGTATGCCGTGATGATGTGTTCTGTGTGTGTGCTACCTCCAGCCAAGTACCGGCAGCGATCGCTGCTGGGAAGGGCCCGCACTTATGATTTATAGTACGCCGTGATAATGTGTTCTGTGTGTGTGCTGCCTCCAGCCAAGTACTGGCAGCGATCGCTGCCGGGAAGGGCCCGCACTTACGATTTATAGTACGCCGTGATGATGTGTCCTGTGTGTGTGCTGCTACGGCCGAGTACCAGCAGCGATCACTGCCGGGAAGGGCCTGAGCTAAGTATTAATAATTTGCCAATCGAGTCAATTGAAGAATGGAAAATAGCTGAATGGCATGTCGGGCGGCACTTTGTCAAGGCACATCCAGTTGTCCTGGACGTCATGACCACGCCTCTATTCGCGACAAGCTTCCAGAATCTCAAAGTCCATGACGGATGGCAACGGAATGCCAGGAAAGGCAACGGAAAAAACAACATCTTTACAGAAATTGGTGGCAAACACCCCCTTGACGGACAGCTTTAGAGCCAAAAAACTGGAAGCTGATGTGGCATGAACGGCTACAGAAAACCGGCCCCGGCAAAACAACAGAAAAGTGACGGACGGATTTTTTGTCTTTAAAAAAAATACAGAAGTAAAATAACAGAAAAAAATCTGAGCGGCCATGTCTATGCTAGGGGCGACCCTGCACAGGACCCACTTTTGTCAAATGCACCCCCGCAAAGAAACCTCTTTTGTCAATTTTCCTCATGGGGGTGTTGTAGGGGCTGCCTTGGTTTCTGAATCTCACACTGCAAATACCTCCTGGCAGTTGCCACCGGACCTCAGTAGTAGTGGTTGAATTTCAATCAGCTATTTAAAACCCTACCAAAAACACACAGCATTCACCACAAGGCCTTGAGCATCAACCAACATCAATAGGAATGCCATAAACATTCTCACAAACCATTGGCATCAATGCCTGGATCCACCATAACTGTCCCACAAAACTCAGCTCACACTCACAACCACATGGTTTGCCAAAGTTTTTGCCACTGGAAGTGACCTGTGAGCTGCTGCCAAACCATGAGCACATAAAATGAAAGCAATTACAGCAAGCGAGAAAACGTATGCAACAAACACTCTGACAGACTGTTGAAAGCCATCCCCGGATCCCCATAGTTGTCTTCCACAAGTCAATTGGCAATCATAGTTCCAATCTTGCAACTCCCTTTTAGAGCTCCGATCGCCACTTGATTGCCCAAGTAGCTCCGATCACCCGTTGCTCTCACCATAGCTCCGGTCGCCGCTTGCTCTCCCCGTAGCCCTGATCGCCGTTTGGTCGCCCTCGCAACTCCGATCACTATGACTCCCTCCCAAAACTCCGACTGTTGCATGCTCCCTACGCCTTTCTAGAGGGGTCGCCCCTAGTAGGAACGTTGTTACGCGCACCAGCCTGATGTGGGAGACGTCCTACTAATGGCCCTTGGTGTGGGGGACGCCCTGCCCAAGGCACGTACTATTCCTCACCCAATGTAACCTTTATCCATATTAGGATACGGGAGTAGGAGGGGTGGTCCCGCCTAGGTGCCCTGTAAGGACCTAGGTGCCCGGCGAGGCGGGTCCGTGGCTCAAAGAGGGCAGGAACCCCACACCCACATCCTATACGTAACATTTGGTTTCAGAGCCGCCTGAGGGTGGCGGCCACGCTTCCACCTGGGAGCGCGCAAGAGCACGAGACGCCGGAGCCCTTCCCCGGCCTCCTCCATGGAGGCTGAGGAATCGGAGGGACAAGCCCGGGATGGGCAGGGGGAAGGATCAGCCCGAGAGGGGCAGGAGATCGATACAGCCCGGGATGGGCAAGGATCTGGATAAGCCCGGGATGGGCCTGGAGGAGTACACGTCCGGGAGGACGAGGCTGAACCCTCCACAGCCGCATCGGTGCCCGCCCAAGCGGACCAACCGATGGAGGAAGCAGAGGCCCCGCCAACAAAGGAGCAGGAGCGGGAGCAGGGGGCCATGAAGGCATTAATAGAGACCCCTGGTGTGTTGGAGCTTCTGCAGAAGATGGCGGACGCCGCGGCCGAGAAAGCGGGAGTGAAGCAGGACGAAGAGACCGCCGAGAAGATTGCCTCGCTTGAGATCGCCGCGGACCAGGCCAAGAAGGAAGCCCGAAGGCATGAAGTGGCTCTGAAGAAGGCGAAACAACAGAGCCGAGAAGCCGAGGAGGCCCAACTCTCCGCCCAAGGCCATGTCCAGGCGTTGAGTGAACGCCTCCTGAAGCAGAAGCAGCGGGCGCAAGAGGCGGAGGAAAAAGTCGCACAGCAGGCGATTCAGCCCGTGAGGGCCCCTAGTCCGTCGGAGCTGCCCATGCCGACCATTCCAGAAGCCGAGGGCGACTGGAAGATTGTTGGCAAGCAGCGCCCCAAGCGGAAAACCCCATCGCCAGGTGAGCGACTGCGGAAGGTTCGATCATCTCCCTACAAAGGCCGGGAGGCCAAAGCCTTAGGGCGCATTGAGAAGGAGAAAGGCCGGAAGGTCAAGTTCCCAGAGCTGCGGCTCAAATCCCAGGTGCATATTCGAACACCTAGTGGATCGGACGGGACTGGAGATGAGTCGCTCATAGAAAGCGCTCAAGCTGTTTGCGGCAAAAGTCCGCCAAGGCCGGAAGGTCATGATTGGAGCCCCCGGAGACCACCACTACCTGAGTGGGGACCCGGAGAAAGTTCTCGAGTGCTGGAATTTATTCCAGACACTGACGATCCGTATAGCCGGCAACCCCCGTGCTGTGCGAGGTGGACAAAGTTCCATAGCAATCGTCTAGAGGATCTCGAT